GAATTGAAGAGAACAGTATGATCTCGTCATACCTACCGTCCCAAGCACTTCACCATCCGCAAATTCAACCGCCACCAGAAAGACCTTCCTTCCAGCGTGAGCATCATCCAAAACCACCCTATCATCAACATTGCCGCTGTCCAGGGTAGATCAACACTATCCACCCCGTAAACCAGCTGCATCTGCATCGTACTTTTCGAGACATGCAGCTTGGTTTCATCCATTCATCCTGGAGCAGCAACAGCAGGGGCGGTGGCAAAATGGAAGAGGGGAGCAGCAGCCAACACCGCCTCATAATGATACGGCCGAAATCCATCGTGATCAGCTGTACGGAGTCTTCCAGCCTCGGACCGAGTTGCGAGCATGCTCATGCTCATGCCTACAGCGCTATCCCCACGCTCATTTTACTTCTCCGTTGTCACCGTAGTATAGTTGCCAAGGGGGGTCAACAAGAGGATGATTGATTCATTGATTGATCAAGTGTACTCCGTACTGTCCACAGTGTCCAGTCTGAGATCACCTGAATTGATACTTACGGTTGTTCTCTTGGCCTTTTTTATGTGGCCAAGGTTCTAACGCCCATTGATAGTCCACCAATGACAAAATCCTCAGGTGAAACAGACTGGCAGGTTATAAATATGCCATTGGCTACGGGAGCCTACAAGCACCTCATGGGAAGTAGTTACGGTGGTTAGTACTCCAAACATTTTCTCATGGCACACGTAACTACAGAACACCCTGCATCTTTCTCATCATCCACAAAACTCATCCCACCAGGACCCAAGACAAAAAAACCAATAGATCATATCATGATACCATCTAGCCCGAATCCTCCACAAAACACCTCTCTCCCCATCGAATCCATAACTTCTCGGACTAATGACTACTAAACTATAGCACCTCACCCTAAGAACAAGGATATACGTTCAACCTCCCCCTCAGCTCGGATGGCGGAACCCATCTCCCATCTCCCCTCTTCCCTAAACATCGACCTCGGTAGTATCCGGTGAATCACCGTGGTTTAGTCTTAGTCTGCATGACCTTAGCTAGCAGCCGCGCCCCCTTCCCCCCTGACCGCTCGGAGATTTCCCTTCCCAGACATGTCGATATTCAACTCAATCATTGATTCAACTTTCAGTTCCACTGAGCCTCGTGTGGGCTTGAGATTATAGTAATCACTTAGGTCCTGGGCAGTGGCATTGGTCAGTCCTGTTCAAGCTTTGGGGACATCCGCTGACAGCGCATGGGAGAAGCCGGACATGGATATGAGTGTGCTATACTGTGAGAAAGTGTGTTCCGCTAGGAAGTGGGTGACAGAGTATATGATCCGTGTCTACCACGGCCAGTCTGCCATCCCGTCTCCGAACCAGTGGATTGCAAGCACTTTCAAACCGAGGAGACAGCCATGCACATACTTACCTTAACTACTTGTGTACGGAGTAGTTTAGTACCCAGAGAACAGACAAACAAGTTCGCAACTGCACCGCCCACTCGGTTTTTCGGTCTCCGTGCAATCCGGGAGTTAAACACGGTTGCCTGCCTGTCTATCTGCCTACCTGCCTACCCCAAGGGCCGAGGCCAAGACATCATAAATCAGGGTGAGAGTAACTCTCCGCGGTCAGGACTCACTGATTCGGGAGTCATGTAAGTTGGATCTGAGCTCCTCGTGCCCCTTTCTCCCCCAAAAATTCCAATGCGGACTAAGAAGTAGTATGATGGTAGATAATAACACAGTGGGTTATATGGTATCATGATATCCTTATAGTGCACTATTACCATTAGTACTATTACTATGACTATGACTATTACTATTACTATTACCCAGGATCCTCCGTATCCTGTGGGAATCCGGCCTTAGACACGTAATAGACACACAACTAAATTGACGTAACCCGGCGACAACCACACAACCACAAACAACTGGCAGAGGCATTGAGATTGACAGACAAGGCCAGATCAGGTACTCTCGACCGGAACCTAATGACTGGTCAGAGTCAAACCATCCATCAGATCAATCGGGTTGATGGCATCCCAGCAAATCGAAAGGCTTGAGAACCTTCAAACTGACCTGAGTCCTTGCAAGGTTAGTAGTAGTAAGTGAGCTAGCTAGCTAGCTCGTTTGATTTACCCAACCAACTACCTAAATTTCCCTGGAGCAGTTCGTCTGCTCATCACATGAAGTGAAACCAGACTGATTAAACCGACAAACCAGCCGGGAGAGAGGGTCAACAAACACAAGACAAAAAAAGAAAAAACTCAATCGACTAATCTATTCTTCCGGATAGATTTATTGTGTATAGGGACTCAAGGGGGTTCGGCCAATCATCCCGTTGAAGTTAGTAGGTTGGGTTGGGTGCTTCAGGGTCTGATGGGCATGGCTGGCTGAGCAGTGAGGTTTGTTCAGTAACTACTTACTGAACCCGTCGGGATATCGGGCCGAGATAAGTTTTTTTTTTTGCCATCAGTTCTATGAGGTGATGTGACTGAACCTCATGCAGCCTTGGGATGATGTGGTCGTTGTGAAAAGGGATTCTTGCCATAGAGACGGGAAGAAAAGGATGCAGGATTCGTGATCGGATCCTTTTTTTTACGGGGGTTGATGCTGCGGTTGAGTATCAAATGTCTTGACGTGGTGTTGTCGGTTGCGTAGGTGGTGACACTTAACAATAGTCACGAAAATCTCTGCCGCATGTCGTACTGTGATGCCAAGCCAAGCCTACTCTTTTACACTCCTTTACAGAGATACAGCACAAACAACACTGCTACCAAAACCCACAGAACTGACTACAAATCCATCTCATTAAACATCATGGGGTATTGCAAATCGCGTTCATTTGCTCTGGCTACCAATTTTAGAAAGAAAAGACCACATTAGAAAACGCAAACTCTCGTCGGACCGTCATGCCAGAACCATCTAAGCCTCGTAGAGGGTGTTGAGGAACTGCTTGGAGGCACGCTCGGGCTTGCCGCTCTCAAGGGGCTTCTGGCCGAGCTTCTCCTTGGAGAAAGCAGCGGCGTAGGGGTTGAGGCGGAGCATAACCTGCTTGTTGCGGAGAGGGTTCTTCTTCTGCACGTTGGCGCGCTTGGTGCGGGCCTCACCCTTGGGAGCACGCAGAACGGACTGGATCTCAGAGGAGTTGATGAGACGGGCCAGGTCGGCGTTGGCGACAAGGTTGGAGGGCAGAAGGAAGTCCTTCTTGAGGGCGGAGGGGGTGGTGGTGCTGCCGTAGACCTGGTCAAGGGCCTCGAAAGCGGCGGAGGACCAGACGACGAAGCGACCGAGGTGGCCACCGGGGGCGAGCTGGAGGAGGTTGAGGGAGAAGACGGAGGAGGTCTCGACACCGGGGATGTTGCGGAAAGCACGGACGAGCTCCTTGCCATCAACCTCGGGGTTGTAGACAACGAGAGGACCGCGGCGCTGGCGGAAGCGGCGGTTCCTCAGCTTACCCTTACCAGCACGGAGCTTGCGGGACTTCTGGACCTTGACGAGGTCGGCACCAGCACCGATGGCCTGGAGAAGGGCAACGGCGGCCTTGGTCTTGCTGATGGCAGCGTTCTCGAAGGTCTTGGACTCGACGACGAGGGGAACCTCGGGGACGTTGGCGACGCGGTGACCGCGGGCGAACAGGAGGGCGGGGACGGAGGAGGCAGCGAGGGCAGAGGCGGTAGCGAAACGTCTGAATTTATCCAAGTCAATCTTCCCGTTTCTGTGCTCGGCGCAATTGATTGTATCCCATACCTCTGGCCAACGTTGACCTTCTGGTGCCACTTACGCCAGACCTTGGTAGGGGCGAACATGCGACCGGAACGGCACTGGTTACCGAAAGCAGCCTGACCGGCACGGTGAGTACCACCACCAGAGACACGGGGGATACGAGCGACAGCACGACCTGCAAATCCGATCCCAATCAGTCCCTGAAAAATTCTGCCTCCCTTCGATTCGCATGTCCAAACGTACCGGTACCCCAGGACTCGGCAGAAGTCTGTTCACCAGCCTTCTCGCTCACGGCATAGGGCTGTCTCTTGTTCTTGGCAATGCCGGTGTGCACCTGCCTGTAATTCGCAGAAAAAAAATCCGTCAGCCTTCTTGTTCCATCCCGGTCGAAATTCTCCCTCTCATCTCGGAATCTCATGATCGAACATACTGAACAATGTCAGGACGGATGGGCGCAGAGAAAACGGCGGGCAGGGGAGCAGTGGCCCCGCTGGGCTTGCCCTCGGCCGTGGCGATGGTGACGGTAGGACGAGACGCCATTGTTGTCGACGGGGTGTGGTGGTCGTTATCGTCTCGTTCGAGGTTGAAGGTCGAGTATCTCAAGATGAGCCTGCGCAAATTTTCGCTTAGTTCGAACCACCCGTCGTGGGTGCGGGAAAGCCCTAGCCCTGACTGCTGTTTTGGGACGCCGCCAGCTGGAGGGCTGATGCCTGAGGCGGAAGCGGCTCCACCAGCGAGATGGTCCGGCCATCTTGTTCTAAGTACAAGATGGCACATACTAGACATGGGAACTACACTGCCTTTATTCTGTAGATGATTGTGAACCATCGGCAAATCAAATATAATTAATCTTGCCATTCCACTGTGCCGTATGTTAGGGCCACGTAATCCACGTATCGTTGTCTTTGAATCGTGCAAGAGTATACACTGGCAAGTTCCATAGATTGACTTATCAAACGCTGGAAGTCAGTTGGCATAGACAAGTACGGACAATGTACTATCCCGTAGATGCAAGAACAAGAATACAGCTTTCATTTGCGCCTTGACATTAACCTATCAATGGATCATGAAAGTATCTGTTATCATTAGGAAGCAATTTTACATTTTACAAGGATCAAATAAGTAACCAGATTACAGACACCATGACACTGACCAGCAGTACTATATTCTCCTATCTCGAAATGTTTCGATATGCTGTATGTTTATCGGATCTTAAATGTACAAAAAGAGCGAAACCCTAAAGGGCCTTCACATGCGTATGCATAGTAAGGGTAAATGAATGGTCAAATGATATCATCATATTCGTTACGAAATAGTGTGTTTGGAGCGATCAAACGTGGCGGTGACCTCCCTGGGCACGGCGTCTGGCGCGCATCTCAGTCACATCGCGCTTGGACATGGCACTCGCGATAGAAAGGCTGTCGCTCTGGCCCGGCGTGCACTGAGTGCCGCTCGCCATGGCCTGAGCGGTAGTCCACTGGCCGTTGGCGCAACGCTGGAATGAGGAGCCGCCAATGCAATTCCAAGAGCCCTCACTGCTGCAAGAACCGGACAGGGCACCAGAGGTTGAAGTGCCAGCACTGCTGGAGCCAGACGAAGACACCGCAGAGGAAGATTGAGATGAAGCCCCAGAGGAGGTCCCAGAGTACGACTCGGAGGAAGCAGAGCTTGCTGCTGGGGGAGCTGCGTAAGCCGTATTTATAGCGGGCGCGGTGGTCGAGGACTGGTAAGATCCAGTGTTTGCGTTGGCGACGACCGCACTGGAGATGGCAGCAGCTGCGCTAGATGCCGAGCTGGTGCCAGAGCTAGTACCGGAGCTCGTATCACCGGCAGCAGCAAAGGTAGGAGTACCAGTACAGGCAGCGCTTCCTTCGGGGGCGAGATTGCTGGCCTCACCAAGGTACGCGACGTAGTCACCAGGCTGGGGAAAACGAATATCGACACCCTCCTTGGTAGTGCAGCCGTTGATATTTGCGACGAACATCGGAGGGAAGGTGGATGAGCGTTCCTCCAACTTGGACATCACTCGGGAGCGCTTGGAGGAGCTGCCGGTGACTTCTAGAGGGGCACAGTTCATGTACATCTCGCGATTGCCGATACGGTTGAACCAGGTCCAGGCCAATGTGTACTTGCCAGGAGAGATGCCCTCAGGGATGGTGTAGTTGAAGGTAAACGGATCCGCCCCGTTAGCGTTTGCCGGAAGGTTTCCAGCCACGTTGGCAGGACACCCGCCCTCAAAGGACTTGATGACCATCCACTCCGAGTCTTTAGTAGGCTCCAGATCTGTGGTCAGCGAGATCTGACAGGAACCACCACCATGGACGGCACTGCCCGTGAAGGTTAGGGGCATGCTCTCGCCAACTGCTCCCGTGTTCCACTGGGTAACCTGATAGGTATTGGAACGCAGCTTGCAGGGGAAGTCACTGCCGTCAGCCGCCAGGGGTGAGTTGTTGAGAGTATCCTTGCCGTAGGGAACGGGCTGAGACATAATCATGTGTCCTTCGACGGCGGACATGCCGAGCAGGGCAGCTGCCACAAGAGTCGACTTGAGGAACATTGTGGTGGTTCGTAAAGCGTTAAACTGTTCGACAGTTGAATCAAGTGTTGATTGAAAGATTGTTCGAATCGTGCCAGACGAGTAGGAACAAGTGTTTGAAGGGTTGTGTGGCTAAGAGACCTGATGTATCTGGGTTAGCAGAATCCTTTTTATATCCTGTACTGACAGGTGTTCAAGATCAACAATAGAGGTAATTTGATGCAAAAAACGGGAGAATCTCTGTATAGCTGACCGCGCATAACAGATGATCATAACACGGACTATGCATAGATGGAAAAATACCTTTATGCACACGGGACAACAAAGAAACCCACGGATCAAAGAATGATATTGTAGAGGAAACTGTCAAGAATTGTCGAGACAATGATTTTTCTTTGTGCAGTCGAAGGAAGGAATGTCGGAGACTGCCACAGGCAAGTCCACCGCAAGGGTCCAAGTCAAAAGAAGGAAGGATGAAAAGAAAGACAGGACTAGCCTGCGAAACTGTCGAACAGATGTGAAGATGAAAGGATTGAAAGCTCCAGCGCGGGATGAGAGAAGGAAAGAAAAGAAACGATGCCCAGCCCTGGAGTGACAGGGGGGATTATATATGTTGCTGTTGACGGATGGAAGCGCCTGGCATGATGTAGGCGACAGGTAACAATTGGAGCGATAAAATCAAAGACATGCATGCTTGAATGCCTTGTGGTCTTGATGCAGTGAAAGCATCAATGAGTGTAAGTTGGTGTTTGGAGGAGTGGAGAAGATGTAGAAGTGAAACTGTGAAAGTACACAGGCGGATCTTGTCGCACCATCAGCCCGGCGCTTCGGATCATTGGCCGTGGAAGGATCGACTGGCGCCGGCCCACTGCCAATCATTCTGTCGGTTCCTGCAGTTTGTCGCTCTGTGGACGTTGAGTTCAGGTACCAGTAAGTCAGATTGTCGCAACCTCCCCTTTGCGCATCCAATCACCGCTACTGTTTGATATTTCTTCTTCATCGCGACTCTTCATTGCCTGGCGACTCGAGGATCACAATCCACCTTTCCCTCCGATCGGTCAATTCACCCAAAAATCCTGGGTCGGACCCTTGCTTGCACTTCGAAATCTCCGCTTGACGTGGGTCGTGTAGCCACTGGTGGTTCACCATGAACAGAATCTATTCAGGTTGACCATATGTGGTGCCTACTCCGGCCTTCTTCCTCTTCGGGTCAGATCTACACAGTATTGCCATATGATACTACTTACTGTACGGAGTACCCTTGTGTGCGGTAAACAGTATCTTCATTGCATGTGAATTCATCAACTGGAAAATGCATTTGCCTGCCTCAGTCCTTCCCCACTGGATTTGTTGATCGCATTTCTTATTAGCGATACGGTCAGAAAATTGCTCTAGTCGGCGTAACTGAGTCTATCAGTCACAAAATCAGGGCAAAATGACCGACTGCATCAACCAATCCAAGTGGGAATCTCAAGACCCTCATCAGACCAGGACGACAGCAAAGTCAATCCAGTCCCCACTGGAGCCATGAGGAGTCAATCTCCAAAATGCAACAGAGTACTACACTCACTATTAGTCAATCTTCGTCTGTCCCTCTCTCATCCTTCTGAGTGGTCCGACTTGGCGCTGGGGTGGCGAACGAAGTCAAACCCTTCTTTTCCCCAGTAAACTGTACTCACTTCCTACCGGGGAGGACGGTTTGAGCCACCGGCCACATGGGCAGGTCTTTTGCTCTCGCCGTTCCTCACTTACTCCTACACTGAAACATTAATGGGACGAGATTATGTGGCTGGGAATCAAGGGGACGATCGACCGAGGTTAGAAAGCCGAGCCAAGACGTTCAGGTACAGTACAGTACATGAGGCCTGCCCAACCACCGCTCCCATGGTTCCACTCCGATCCCCCGCGGACCCCTTCGGCGCTCAACGCTGGCTCTGCCTGGCGGAGACCTCCGCTACAAAATTGAATATCGGTTGACATTTCCGCTTCACGTCTTTCCTTGTTTGTGTGTGAAGAGCAGGTGCTCGCCGAGAATTGCTGCACATACAATGAGCGACTGCGTAGCGTGCAACTATACTGCGCCCCAAATCGGACCTGCATCATGCATCACATACATCACCGTGAATTTTGTGAGAGGTACCGTGACATAGTATCCTGATGAACTCTCCCGCTCGAATTCATTTGCAAACCCACATAGCCAAGACTGCCCAGTCCTTTTCCTCAAGTCAATACAATCTCTTCGACCAAGAGTCAGTTCCATGACAAGATCACGGTTACCTTCGGCAGTGACCCGTCAATAGATACTGAATCAATCTGAAACGTGCAACCGGCGCGGAAGATTCGCGGCTGTCACGGTGTCATCGACTCCGTAGTCTAAGCGAAGGCTCCAGTTACTTTCATCTCCCGATCCGTCCTATGATATGCATGCCCTCGGTCTACGAAATTTGCCAGCCAGCCTGGTGGCTGTCTTGGGTCGGACGAAGTCGAATGTAGCTCGAATGAGACATGAGGCCGAATGTACTTGCGTAGATCTGCTTGGTGTGACAGGCGTCAAGGAGTCTGAGTGCATGTCTCGGTCACAACTCAGCAGTATAAGTCCTTGGTACGTGTAGTGTGCTGTACATTCTATCTACATGATTGTTGCAACCTATACGTGTCGATAGTCAGAGCCATGAGATGCCAGCTGGCATAGCGGCCACAGTCCTCTGGGGTGCATGACACTCTCTTCTCGGAGTTGCGCTACATCAGACATCTGTGTGTTGGATCTTGTAGTGTTTCAGCAACCAGAGTGCCTGGATCGAATGTAGTTCGATGATCCGGGGACTCCAGTGACCGGCTTGAACATAAATGCACTCGTGCCTTCTTAAGCACCAGTCCATAAGCACCAGTCCATAAGCAGCAGTCCATAAGCAGCATCAATAGCTGCTGCCGCTACTGCTGCCCATAATCAGCGCATCACTCATCTCTCACCTTCTGTTGAACAAAGTTGACACCCAGATATCAAATCATTTCCTCCCCTTCTTCTTCTTCGCCCCCTCCCCATTCCCCCCACCCGACTCCTTCACAAACCCACCCTTAACCAGCGCATCTCTCCCAGCAGCATTAATGATCCTAAACCGATCCGGCCCCAGCAAAACCCCGCCATACCACCGCGTCACCACGACCACCACATCCCAGACATCCATCAACTGCATCAGATGCAGCAACCTACCCCCCGCCGCCGTCTCCCCATCATCATCACAGTCCTGCACAATCGACACATCCCCGCCGGCCGCAGCATCATCGCCCGTAGTAACCGCCGCATGACTACTCCCACTCTTGCCATTCCCACCACCAACCTTCCTCTCCCTAATCCTCCACGCGCTAATATTATGCGTCGCCCCAGCCACCTTCTTATCCGTCGCCAGCAAGTAATCCAAGAACCCCTTCGCCTGGTCCAGACTACTCACCTGCGCCGCCCTCCCCACAAACACGGATTTCTTCTCCGTGATCACGTCCGAAAGGACCCATTCGGGCGGGGCCTCGAGACCGAATGTTTCGTGTAGTTGTACCGAAGAAGACGCGAATCCCGTCGCGCTGTTGAGTTTTGTGTCGTCAACCTCTTCGTGCTGCGAATCACTCCTCGTCCCATTCCCACCATCACCACTATTCGAATCAACACTGGCACCGCCACCACCGACCCCCAACTCCGTAAACACCGCCTCCGCCTCCGAGATCAAATCAAATAGACACACCGATCCGGCGGTATATACCCTTCCCAGAATATCACTGAGAATATCGACGGCAAGTTTGCCCTCCCCGCGGGCAGCGGTGGAGGCGGTGCCGAGGATGAGCGGGGGAGCGTCGGGGTAGGAGGGCGAGAAGCCGAGGAGGAAGGAGAGGTGCGGGTGGTTTGGAATTTGGAGGCGGAGGGTCGTTGTCGGTGTTGCTGTAGCTGTACGGTTTTGTGCTGTGTCGGTAGGAGGGGTTGCGCTGCCGCCCAGGGTGAGGGTGGAGGGACCGGGGGCCTTTGTGGTTGGGGTGTCGCTGTTGCTGCTGATGGTGATGGTTTCGGGGTCGTAGATGGCGGTTATGGCTTCAATTTCTTCGGCGAGGTCGGGGTTTAGAGGTGACATGTTGGAAAGAGGAGGGGTGGGGGAGGGGAAGTGGCGGAGGTGTTGTTGTTGTATGTCGTGGTCAGTCTTGGCGACTGCGAATTTGATTCCGGTTGGAGGGGGTGGTGAGGGGAATGATATGCGCTATTCGCGTACTTCTAGGATATATTTTGGAGATCGAGCTATCTTTCCCAATCTGGCCTTATAGCTCAATGGTAGGGCGTCAGTTTTCGGTACTGAAGGTTCTGGGTTCGAGTCCCAGTGGGGTCGTTTCTTTTTGTCTTTTTTCTTTTATGGGCAGGGTCGGTGGGATGAGCTGAGGTCGCCCGTGTGCTTGACAGATCTTGTTTCACTGTTTACTTTCAATTGTTTGTTTGACCGCCCCTGTCCAATGCACAGTATAAACTGCAATCAGCATCCCAGCCCCATCATATTCGCCGGGGCCTCCTTCACCTGCAGCCTCTGCATCATGGCCTCTTCATCCTCCAATCCATCCAAGTTCTTCCTTTTCCAGAACGCCCGGAAACCGTCCACCAACCGCCGAGTAATGCCGGCGACCTCCTCGGCCGGCATCGCCGCAAAGCACAGCCGAAAATACTGCTGCGAGCGAATCTTGGTCGCAGAGGTCGGCGCGAACAACGATCCGGGACTCACTAGACACAGATAAGGCTCCTCCATGAGTTGAAGCCAGAGCGCCTTACTCAGTCTCTCAGCCCCATACGTCTGCAGCAAGGGGTGCGTCTCGATGCTGATCTTGAGCCACACGAACATCCCTCCCATGGGCCATGTGAAATCATACATCTGCACCTTATCCAGCACCTCCCAGGTACCTGCGTCTGCGTCTGCGTCTGCGTCTGCAGCACCAAAGACCTCATGCGGCGAGGGACCACGATTGAAGTCTGCATCAACCAGGTACTTCCCTTCTTCTAGCACCGTGCACATGTCGCGCATGCGCTGCTCGTAGCTCGCGCGCAGCCCTTCCAGCCATCGCACCCAGCCATCCATCTGCCAGGCGCGCTGCTTCTCGCCCTTACGCGGTTTACTACCACTGCCACTACCATGATTCCTACCGGCTGCTGCTGCACCTCCATCTGACTCCACCTGCTGACCCAGGATCAACTCAGCCACCATGGCCTGCACGAATCCGGACGGCTGCTGGGTACTCGTCTCTGTGATACGGGTCATCCGCTCAATGAAGGCAGGCTGGGCGGTTATCCACCCCAGCCGACACCCCGGGGCGATCGTCTTGGAGAAGGTGTCCAAGCGCACGACGCGTCCGTCCGTGTCAATTGACAGATACGAGGGGACCAGCGAGTCCAGGAACGCGTACCCGGACGACCGACCGTGGGCGTTGTAGTTGCGCGGCGTCGGGTGGACCGCCAGTGGCGAGCCGCGATACTGGGCCTCCGTGGCCGCCGCCGACGGGTACTGAAGGTTCCAGTACGGGTCATCTTCGATGATCAGGATGTCGTATTGCTGGCACAATGCATAGATCTCCCTGCGACGTTCTACGGACAGATTACCACCCGTGGGATTTTGGCCGATTCTGTCGCGAGAAGAAGCTAGGTCAGCCAGGGCCCGCCACAAGCCAACAAAGGTATGTAATCCACTGCAACAACTTACGTGATGGTGTACATCAAATGCGGCCGACGACCTTTTTTGAAATCCCAATTCTCTAAGACATCCGCCAGTCCACCCTTGCCGTGAGCGAGCATGCCCTGCGCATCGATGGCGACGGTGGCGACATTGACGCCCCGGGGTTGGAAGGTCTGGATGGCATTCATGAAGACAAACTCCTCGCAGAGCACGCCCTCACGCTGGTTGATCCAGTCCCGACGAGGATCCCAGGCGGTTGTGAAGGTTTCGACTGCCTTGGCCAGGCCGTCGGTCGCCCCCGTTGTAAGCAGGGTCGCTGGCCCCCCGGCATAGGGGATATTTGGGTGGAGATGTTCGCGGGTGAATTGGCGGACAAAGGTAGCCAAAGCAGGCAAGCCCTCTGAGGTACCATACTGCAACGCTGTGGCGACATCGATCTTCCGGACAGCGCTGGCACGGGGCGTTTCTTTGGGAACGACCATGCGGTCCGTGGCCCGCGCGTCCTCTCCTCCCGTCGTGGGACTCACCGCAAACCGCTGCGGGTGGGCGACGGTGGCCTCGAGGGTTTCGTAGGGGAAGTATGACGCATTTGGCAGGCCTGATGTCGTGCGCGGTAAGTGAGGGGAACTTTGAGCCTGCCTTTCATGGGGACAATTGCGACAATCACAAAACAAGAACGAAGAACTAACCACCGGCCATGTTATCAACATTGGGTCGAATCATATATTTGTACAGACTCTTGACCAGACTATTTTCTCGTCGCTTGGTCACCGCCGAGAAATGATGCGACAAGTCGAGCGGCGGCGACTGTTCCAGGGTGGAATAAACCATGATGGAAGATTACCAGGGACTGATTTCACAGTCAGTCATGTGTATGCAACTTCGTCAAGTGGATGAATATTGGCTCGAATTGATCCAAACAACACCTGATTAATGGCTGGACCCAAGGACGAGAGGACGTGTGGTGCGCGTGGTCGGTATATAAACCGGCCGTTATCGATCATGCTTGATAAGCAAACCAAGACAAGCAAGATTGTGGTTGGAGATCCACTTGGATTGGTCCAGACACCATGACGGCCGTTGAATGGACGCGATAAGTGAGAGGAAGGACCCTCTCCCCGTGCAGTGTTTCTGGATTGTAGGATGTGACTCGTAGGCCAGTTAACCGAAGGGTGACAGGATGCACATCCTGATTCCTTCTTTTGTTCTCTTATCCGACGAATCCCGGAGGACAGACTTAGCGGCGGCCAGATAACTAGACATCTGAGCGTACTGTTCGTGTTTTGTGTTTATGTCTGTGTCTGTCAGTGTAGTTTGCCCAGGCGACTCCCCGCAACTGGATGTCGCCCCATGGGTCTGGCTATGGTGTCATGTTCATATCATCGAAGACGGGCAACGAAGCCTGGGGTAGCCTGGTTGGCAGTGTTCTTGTTTTAAATGGTTGGCTTGCCGAGCGTTCCGAATGTGGGGGAATTTTGGTGAAAAAGGGTTCCATCTCTCTGAGGGATGCGGAGATGAAGTTTGAGATAAGCTCAGTTGACAATTAATTGACACTTACAGAGAGGACAGTGGACGGTGGTTTGCTTTGTTTGCTGCTCTTCAGCTTTCTTTTCTATTCGTCCTGCTTATCGATGATTTGACACATACTTGCCTTTGAAGTTCACGTATGACACTAACTCATTGCTGACTTGTTAAATCATCGTCAGTGTGTTGACAACCTGTCATTCATCATCTTTGATAGTCATTCTCTATATTCTACCGCTATATTTCGCCAAATCTTAATGCATAGAAGAGGCATTCGACAAGTGTCAGTAGGCAAAGGGCAGGCACATGCAGTTTTACACCATATCTCGCGACAACAAGCGTTGCGATAAATCTCAAGGTACTGTACACTCCATCAAAACGCGATAACACTACTCAACCTAAAGCAACACCTTGACTATCTCAACGACGATGACTCAAACCTCGTCCTTCCACAATGCAGATTGTCCTCAACAGCTCAGGATCCTTCAATGAAAAAACAGATATTTTGTATTTGTCGAAGCAACGTTGCCTTGTAACATACCTATATCTATCGTGGGAATATATTAGTCCATCGTTCCGACAGTAATCCCTACAGGATCTATCGATAATCCCTCACCCACCCAGCCTGAATCTCCAGACACTTCTACAAAGAACCGCTCAACGATCGACCTCCAGCCCTCTGCAAGAATCCCAAACCAGACCAGGAAGATCACCATTCCACCCGGAGGTTCAGATATAGCCGGGTGGATTCTGATTCCACCCGCCCTAACATAATCGTACCCGGTCCCCTACTATCAGAGTACTGGCTGTAGTGTATGTACATGCAGATACCCGAAACCAATGGGCTTCAAATCAGCCCGTCCGGTTGGTGATGGTTGGTGGTACGCAAAAAGCAAAAGTAAATTATATCGAAAGGGATGTAGGACAGCAAACCCCGGGATATCGTCGCAAACTACTAAGCTACCTACCTCGACATGCTAATCTAACCAAAGGACAAAGAAGATCTGACCCTAGCAGCTTTAACCCCAGTATCCCTCTGAAACGGCAACCGTCATGTTCAGAAGATCATAAGGCAAGACATGAAAGAAAAGCAAACACCATCCCAGCCAGCTCGCTCCAAGACAACAATCAGATTACTTGAGAGATAGGGAGCTCAATCAAGCTAAAGCTGAAGCGCAAACAACAGTAGGAAGCTATATAGCCCCCTTCCTCACTCACCCCATCCAACTCTCGACCTTCCGGCCCATAAATCCACTACAATCACTGACCCCCACGACAACCGAAGCTGAAGATCTTGCCCACTGCAACCCTTCCTAGAAGAGAGAACAACATGCACATCCCAGCCCTCCTCTCCTTCTCTGTCCTCGCGGCCTTCACCACGATCCTGGGAGGTGCCGTGGCGTCCCCCACCGCAGCGAAGGAGAAGCCGCTCGCTGCGCGGGTGAATGTCGTATGTCGTTCTCCAAGTAGTTCTTCTATATTCTACTTTGTCTTTCGTCTAAGGACTCAGAGCACATTTCCCAATTGTTAATCTCTGCTGCCATTACAGTTTGCTTGAGCTAATCGTTTTCATTGAATGCAGTTGCCTAACGGCGCTACCTGCAACAAGGACGGAAGTATGGGGGTCTGTCAGAGTAATTTCTGCATGGTGAATTGTTTGTCCTTTCTTTACTTCGCTTATGGTGGAAAGGGAAAAAGGAATGCTTTTCTGCATCTTTACGGATGGAGGAAGTGCGATATGCCGAGTCGGAAAGAGCGAATAGCTAATGGATTTCGCATTGTCTAGCAAAACGAGGGCGCGGCTACTGGAATCTGTCGGTAGATTCTAAGCTCGAAGGGAACTGCTAGGGTCCTTGCACCTCTGTTGGGTAACATTTCTTCAAGCAGAGCAGACTATATGAGTTGATAGCCTGGGTGATAAAGTGCAACTAAGTCCGATTTGCACTAAATGAAATGACATCGCAAACAAGAGCACAACCCCTTCACCAAAATGGTTCAAGAGATGAGACCTGTGTAAAAGAGTCCGGAACAACTAAAATCCCCGATTCTGCATGGTACAAGTCGAATATCAAGAAAGAACACGTGCTTCATGTGAACGCTGTATCGGTGAGTCAGCAATATGTAGAACAACTCAAAAAGCCGCCGATATTGCGTTTTTCCTGGAACAGCCATGGTGGCAGCGTAACCAAGACAGAAAATCAACCTCGGGCTGCAGTTGGAAGACGTTGGTACTAAGCTGTTCCAGAGCCTGCAGTTCCTCGTTCATTTCTTGTCTCTTGACTACCGGTTCCCTGCTGGATACGGAGCATACAACGACTCGGGGTGTTTACTTCCCTTTGTCAAGCCTGCTCAACGTCCGCGCATTGATGCGACGGAGTACAGTATGCAGAGTTCCGTCTATCGCACGAGCGGGTGTATTCGCCAACTTTGAAAGGTTAGTCTCCATTCTGTGAGCTTTGGCAGAACCAAATCTGTAGCTGAATCTTCGGTGTTTGCTTCTGGTATGAGCAGGGAAGAGTCAGCGGCCAGGAGCGTGACAGGCCCTGTTTTCTTTGGAGATTTGAATGTATCCGAGATACCGAGAAAAACCAATGTGTTGCAGTCACCACTTCACCACTACAGAGCTGCCTTCATCTTCTAGTTCGAAAGATCGTGGCTAAGAAGGCCACATAGAGTAGTGAAGGTGGTGACTACTGTAGTGCCAGAGGTGATGGACCCCTCACGTCTAGTGACAATCGTCGAAACAGGAATGGCGGAGCGAGTGAAGTAACAATCGCGACTGGACTTCTCCAGTAAGCTTCATTCAATATATTCCACAGAAATCAACCCCGCGCCTCTTCCAGAGACAGCGACAGTTAACTATAGTTCAAACAATCCCTCGAGGATGTAAGCTAAAAAATCTAACATATACATCATAATTTTGACGATATTGGACCGTCGCAGAGACAGTGAAAGAAAGGACAAAGAAGTATATCCGGAATTCAACAAAGTCACAGGACCACCCCGAACAAACCAGCGGAATGGTGACTACTCCTAGTTAGTGGGAGTGACCGTGTCGTAAGTGCTTGTAAGCATGCCTATGAATGCCATCGCGCTTCCAACGAGGTCTTTCGGATGCGGTGACACCACTGGACATGCCACTCATGACACTGGAAGTGGGTTTTGAGGGTGTTGCCAAGGACCCAGTTTGCGTCTCGATGGGGACACCTTGATCGTCCACGAGGACTATGATTTCCTGCTCCACATATACAACACTTGTGGAGGAAACAGTGTCGGCAGATGAGGTGCTCGAGGGTGGCGACCATGTAGTGATTTGTTCCCAATCATCGCTTGCGAGAAGAGCTGAAGTCGAGGATTCCGCTGCCTGATAAGCAGCGGTCAAAGGCCTAGGAGTCATCGCAAGAGTACTGGATACCGAAGTAGTCGTTTTGATCAATGCAGTACTGGTGGTACGAGTGACAGCATTTGACTTCGCAACCGATGGAGAAGTACTTGATGATATGGCGGACTTGATCAATGGTGCGCTGGTAGCCGTGGAAGTTGTTACAGCTGGCTTGGCGGCTATCGCGAATGTGCTTGATGCTGATGGGGAAGCCATCACGGGTGTACTGCTTGTAGAAGTGAGTGTAGTCTGCTCATAAACCATCTCAGATGCGCTGGATGTTTGAGCAGCAGTCTTGATCAGGGGGACGCTCGTCGACGAAGGCGTGGCCAACACCGGAGGTTTAGCTGCTACAGCGAAGGTGCTTGAAACCGGCAAGGCAGTATTGACTGAAAGAATACTCGTTGTCGAAGGTGGGGCTTGGGTTGAGGATGCAACTATGCTCTTTGTGGACTCAGGGGCCGCAGAAGACGCCAGCAATGCTGCAGACATGACAGTCTGAGAGGCGGAAGTTGTGGGGCTCGGAGTAGGTATGAGAGGTTTGGATGTGGTGGATGTAGCCAACGCAGCGATCGAGGAAGAAGCCAACATGGCCTGAGAACTCGAAACGGTACTGGGAGGATTCAACATCGAAGACAGAAGCGGGGTGGAAGACATGGCAACCATAGCTAGACTGCTTTTCGGTTCTGAGGGATTTAAAACCGAAGACTTGCTGGCATCAGATGAAGAAGCCACGACTGGAGATGACGCCGCGAACAAAGCTGAGGATTGCGTTATAGCCGAGGAGCTGGGTGGAGACGGGTCTGCAATGCTTGAAGATACACCCAACACTGCAGAAGACATGATGATTGAAGGTTTGGCGATCGTTGTCGCCAAGTCAGTCGAGAGTGGAGGAACCACGGCTGACGGTTTGGCAAACACCCCACTTGAAGAAAGCGCTTGACTGTAAGCAAGTAGCGTTGAGGACTTGACCGCCATAGTCGAAAGTACAGGCGTTACTGATGAGGATGCCAAGGATGAAGGCCTGATTGACACAGTCGAAATCCCTGATGTGGAAAACGTACTGGGGATCGAAACTTGGGCAGCTGATGTGGTTGAGGTAGCCGAGACTAACGGTGCTTCAACAGCCGTGTGTGCGTGGGTAGCTGGGGCAGTAGTCGGGTGAGCAGGAGGAGCTTCCACCACCACGGGGGGTGCAGTCGGCTCCCAGGCCTTTGCCGTGGTGGGTGAGGAAGTTGTGAGGCCTGGCAGGGCCACGTGAAGACCTGCGGACAAGAACCCGAGGTCAATGCCAACTCCAACATTCGGTAGATCATCAATAATGACTGGCGTTGGTCTCCCGTGGCCACCGGCGGCAGTGGTGGTGGTTGTTGTGGTGGAATATCTAACTGGGCTAGCATAGGCAGGTCCAGATTGGATAACAAGGTTGTTCGGAAGACCACCCTTATGGTAGTTCACATCCTCATTTTTCAAAGCATCTGGCACAGAAAAGCGACACTCTCCCTGCTTCTCATCGCTCTGGAGGTTAAAGATTGGACAGTCTGACACCTCTCCAGACATGTTTGTGCATGTATTTACCGCCTGTTGGAGCACATTCGACTCCCAGCCGTACATGAAGTCACCATGGTACCCGTAACCTGTGGGGTCTCCATTCGCAAGTACAAAATCGCCTTTCTTACTTTTAAAGGCATATGTGTCCCAGATATTTTCGTAGAAAAGTGAAACAAGGCGATGCTCGAAGCCCTTGGGACATTTTCCGTCCATGACGAGGGACGGATAGGCCAGATGAGACTTATGATCCGGTGTATCGACATCCTTCCCGTTCCAGCACGAAGGGAACATCAATTCAAACCGAACGCCTTGAGTACAGTGCTCATCCAAATATGTCTTGTTCGGAAGGAAATGACGCGCGAGCGAGGGCTCGGGGTCTTTTTCATAGTTCAAGCAATTGAACCCGACAGCTTTCTGACGAAGAGCTTCTTGCGATAGATCATCTCCAGTCCACTCTGCTTGCGGAGGATCGGGAACTGGCCAGGGGAAGTCACGCAAGTATGTGTCTCCTGCCATCATGCGAAAATTATCAGGGAACGCCGTCACGTTATCGCCATTTAGAAGGTAATAGCTGTTATCAATTAGTGCCAAATCACAGCGAGATTTATTGCGTCTGAGAAAACTTACGCCAGCATACCGCCGACTTCATTGACGAGTTCTGCATCGCCATTCTGATGCACGAAGTACAAGGCGGGCGCCCAGTATGCCGACTTGTCCTGAGTGACTGCGCAGGACGTACAACTCGATTGCCTAAGGCTGGCCTCGTTGGCTGACATTGAGAATCCTATTGGAAGAACTCAGCGACCATGCTGGTGAGTCACAAATGATGCAAGAGAAACTGACCGCCCGAGCCATGAACTACGTGTACATGATCTGATGGTGTTCCCGGTGCCATTATGGGATCAATCCGAGCCACACCACTCCGTCCGCGACAAGGCAGACGCCAGAAAGCGTCTGCAACATTGGTCCATAGTGTCAAACAAGTCACTATAGTAACATTGAATTTCATCTTTTGGTGCATCATCCGCCGGTTAGTGCGTGTAAGTGGTGGGTCGATAGTGCGAAAGCAGGCAAGAGAATTGTAGTCTCAACTAAATGCGTCACCAGGAGCTAAGGATCGGAAGTCGTGCCCATCAATGGCTGAAGCTAGATGGTCGAGGTTAGTATGGGTGTCGTCGAGATTGTTCCGTGGTCGTGCAGCTAGGGATACCGATGGTGGACAGGTAAAGCTTAGTATAAGAACGCCCACAACAACAAAACAATGACAAAGCATGTCGCCGCGGCGCCACCGCTGAGTCCAGAATGATCAGAGGCCTGGAAAGTCATTGACATCATGTTCCACTACAGAGGTTGTCCCTGATGGTAGGAAAACGCCCCTTGCATGCCGTAGCAGTGACTCCAACGCTTCTCACGCTACGCAAGTCGCTCCCAGAAGGTGAGCTGATACGACTCGGTCTCGAGGTCAACAGGGGACAGAAACTCAAATTGGGAACAGCATTCCGGTTCCCCGAGCAGTAACGTGTGGTGGTCCCTGTCGATCGACCCGAAGCGGCAGTGTCGTTGGAATGTTTGGCTACCACTCGAATTGGTTGCCAGGAATCCAGGACCTCTTTCGTCCTTGCTAAATAGCAATGTCTTGCCGGTCAATTTGCCTGCCAGCCTTGGGGGCAAATCGATGGACGAAGGAGCGAAGGAGATCCCGATTCCGAACGTCTAGCTGAACGTCTAGCAGAAATTAAGATCGGACCGAGAGCTGCCATCCCAGGACAAGAAGCAATTCGGCTGTGGTAGATCGTCAACTACCAAGATCTTCCCTTGTGAAGAGCAGAGACAAATATCACATAAGCGATAAGTCTCTCGTATTATTCAGATCGAGCAAAGGCAGCTGAACTTCGCGATGTGCGGCTAGTTGTCGATGAATCGATGCAGACTGACTGTGAACTCAACCCAAGAAGTGAGACACGATCTGGGTACGGAATACTGCGCAGGAGACGAAGGGCAATGCTCGGTCGGCATTGTAAACGATTCAGTTCTTGGCAGATTCTCCAGGCCCCTGTGATGAGGCGACTAAGGTTCGGTTTCCCGGACACTCAAAGCTCGCAAGTCTTTCCGTCTGTTGCGGTGGCAAGAAGACGCATCATCTGCAGGGTCGGAGATATTCGACGTTTCAGAGGCTATCAACCTTCCAGTCATGATGCATCTCTAATGCAGGCAAGCCTTGTCAGCTGCGCCTTTGCAGGTTGCGTTTATCTCGAAACCCGTCAGTGCATGGTTGTGTGGGCACAAGCTTAATTCCAGTACAGGGATAACAGCGCATCCATATCCGAATCAAGGGTGATTTTCAAACCGTCGACGGTCGGGGCGAGACCTTTCTCGAGCATTTCCAGTGTGGGATGTAGATCCGCAATGTAATTAGACGTACGACTCTGGAGTTGTAAAAGCCGTCAAAAGAAATGAGGCGTCGCTCACAGAGCAGAGCTCGTTTCGTGTCATTCTAGAAGCCGACAAAGCTGGTGTCGTGATTAATTATCGGGTCTCAGTACGGGTATTTCGACGGGCACAAGCTCAAACGCAGGAATTGAAGAAGGATGGGTCTAGGATACAATTGAGAATGAACATGAGACAAGTGCTGGGCTAATCAAGGAGAGGTCTTCGCGTCGTGTCAGAGACATGGAAGTTGGGATGATCGGATCGGTCGGGGGTCCCTGACTAGATGGCGGCTGACCCCGCTGGGGTGACCCCTGGCGGTGTGCTGCAGAGTGTGGATTCAAAGTTCAAAGTCAGAAGCAGGATGCAGACCCTGCGTGAAATGCAGCTGATTCTTTAGATTTTTGGGATGCAATCTGGGGATGTGCGAGGGTCCCTGTCACTCTGCTTGAAGGGTAATGTGACATTTGTCATGAAGGTAGAGCCTTCACAAATCATACACGAACCACCGATCGAAGTGCGTCGCTCCTCGCACCGTGGTATCCGGATCATAGTACTACACTTTCAAAGATGATCAGAACAATTCGGATCGGCTTCGATATATGGGATAACCGTTATATGCACCAATAAGCACATCATTGAAAATACGATGGGAGAGATCTTGAAAACCGGAAATGTCGTCAATCATGAATCGAAATATAGTCTGCCGAAGGCGGGCTCGAGTATATATATTATCTCCAGCGAACATATATGAAAGCATTTACATATCAAGCTGCTGGGGTCCAAAATCGGCCTCGGTCAAGGCCAATGTACGACCAATAAGCAGAGCGAGGTTAGTTTCAAAGTAGGTTGAAGTCGCGATTGAAGAGGATCACGTGCATTCTCTACTGCTGATACCCAGGAGCGGGCACATACTATTTCCCTTATGTTCAAGGTCAAGGAATATGATCTGTATAACTACTACTATCATGCAGAAGTTACCTTATCACAAATACTAAGACAAGCTCCTTAAGCCTTCAACCCTCATCTAATTTAAGATAAACAAGCTCTACGGATACACCATCTGTCATCACTAATATCTACCCACATATCAGGTCAATCGACCCATATCTAGGCACAAAGTCCATTCTCTCCAGACCAAGGAAGGCCAGCGGAGTTCCTCCGTAGCTGGAGTACAGAAACAATCTTATCGCCCCAGAGATACGTAGGGATAAAGCATCTCCGCACGCGGTCAAAACCCCCAACCCCTGTCGATGTCGCCATCGCAAGATAAGCTTCGTCGATGAACACCACCATGCGACCAATAATCCACCAGAATCTTACCATCCAAAAGAGATAAAGCATCCTGCGCAACTCCGACAACGAATGAAAAGCGCTTGATCGCCCGTTTCCCCCCCCGCGGCGAGCGATCAGGATCTGGCCAACCCCGTCTCGACCGTTAACCAGATACATATCTAGATCATCAGATGTCATCGATGCCGGGTCCCGGGTCTGTCATGCCATTGTTGGTTTAGAGCGGACATGACAGGACCCAGGCTTCGCTAAGTCCGACGGTGGTAACTATCAGTGACTCAGTAATCACTCGTGTATCCTCAAAATGCGATAGATGAGGTGATTCGATTTCCGTACGAGGAAGCCTACGCAAGCCGATTCAGTAGTCCACTTGACAGCTGAGCTCAGGGCTGGCAGCAGCGGATACCGACTCCTGTTTGTGTTGTGCCGGGGTGGGTTGCCATACACCGCATAATAGTAGTTGCTATGGATGCCATCCCGAAAACCAAGAAGAAAAGACGCGCGGTGACTTCCGGCCGGCTGTGAGAACGAATAGTCACCAAACGAACTTCATCTTGAACCGGCAAACCTTCCCCCGAACGAGTAAAAATCTCCCTCTCTCCCGACTTTACGGCGTAGATGGAGACTGGAATCCCTCACGGACAAGACTCCATCCATAATAACGCCTGTTAATCGCAGCCATCAAAGCCATTCTAACTCCATCCGGCAAAGCGACAAGCCGCAAGTCTAATTCGGTTCATCACTGCGCTATACCCCAGGAGGAGATAGATTCCTACGGCCCCGGCTTTCTCTTTTGTGGCGGAATGCTAAAACGCGCCAGGGAGATGCTAGATCAAGCCATGGGTTTCGTTCCGTCTTTGGGGGCGGGGAGGAGGGGAGATTCCTGGAGAAAATTGAACGAAACTCGCCCGCCTTCAATGCGGAAAGCGGGCACTTAGAGTTTGTGTGTAGTCTCTTTGCCCGGTTGAAAGAGCAGGTAGACGTAGGTCAATTAGAGACCGTAGTGTGAGATACTCCGTATTCGCATCAACTCAGTAAAGGACGCTTCAAGGAAAACCACCATGGCTTGAACCAATCTGATCGGCTCGCGATTTACCACGCAGGGCAGCGGAACCCCGAAGCTTTAGTGGATTTCCTTTGGAAAGACACGGGCAAGAGATTGGTGCCTCAAGCAGGTTAAAGGACTAAGGACAAAATAAGACGGAACTCAAGTTGCCCTTTCCCGGGGGTTGTGATATCGCGGTTTCAAGTGATTCCTGTTCTTTGCATCATCACAAACGGCACTGATATCTTTGTACTGATTCTCGTACTGCGGTGAGCTCTACACTGTAGTCAAGTCGAATCGACGATTTGAAGCAGAGGTTCAGCCATTCATCTTGTGTGGAAATATACAGACCGACAGATAATAATGCCTCGATTCCGAAAGGCGGACCGGTGAAAAGCGTTTAGTCAAATGTTTTCTCACCATCTCACCCTTTCCGAGTTTCGTCTGCGAATGAAAAGCGGATGGTGAAATGAGATCCACCCCGCGGGTTCCGACTAGACTAAAGCCCATTGGCTTGACCAACGAGCAGCACCAAAGCAGAATCGGATCAGAAAGACCGGTAAATGCCTGTCTAAGCCGCCAAAAACGTCGTAGTGTGCCTCCTTTGAGGTCTTTGTCTTCCGTTGGCAGATGCGGAGGATGACGTTGTTCCTGTTGAAAGGAGTAATTTCTCCATATTCAGTGAGAAAGGCATTGAATACATATGATACACTATTTGAGTATAGTAGGCCTGCATCGATAACAACTCTTATCAGGGATCGGCATTTCTGCTATAATCTTCTTTTTTTTTTTTTTCTCTTTCTACCACTCGGGCCCGGCTCTGGACCAGAAAACAACCAGTAAACTTCACCATCAGTAAATGTTGGGGCCGAAAGGGGCATTTGGATCTTGAATCCTTGCGGTATGACGACAGTCGCAGGGGAGTGCTTAAGAGAGACGCAAGTAGGGCAAAGCGGAAACTTCACGCACTGGATGGTGGACTAAGCCAGGTGTGGGCAAGTTAAAATTTTGTCGTCGGCACCAAGTCTCACACCAAGTGGGGAGGACCGCCACTCTTTGTATCTGCAGGCGACCAACGATAACGCTCAGCCATCCCTGGGCAGGAAGCCCTCAATCCACCCGAAAACACCTGAATCACCGCCACAGAAGTTCTTACCTTTCAGTCTTGATGTGGTGTCGAGGGACTTTTCTATGGTCAACCAAACCAATGTGTAGCCCGTCCAGACCCTCCCTATGACGAAGGAAAAAGAAAAAAGAACGTCCAGAAGGCAGAAGCGTGATAAAAGTGGATAGGGTCCAAACCGACTACTGGTAGGCTTTCCCCGTAGAAATTGGCAGACGATGGAGGCGCCAGGGCAGAGGTCAGCGAGAGCACGAGAGCATGGGGTAGTCTGCGGTACCTTCTTTTGCCCATCGATGAGACTTGGTGGAGCCTCCGTCAGACTCGCAACCCAAGACGGTCGTAGAGAGGGAAAAATAGAGCAAAAACAGGAAAAAAATATCCCCTTCAAAAGATATTAAATACAACACTGTATCCCATATATCCTGACAGCTTCTGTCGGCCTTCATACCCAAGTTGATCTCCTTCTACTTCTTCTTCTTAACCCCTCTCTTATCCTTACCTTTTCTTCTATCCTACACCCACCTCGTGCAGTTCTATTCCTATATTCTTTCCTGCAAATATCCTTTCTTATGCAGCAAAGGTTTGGGCATTGATACTCCACGCTGGCTTGGCTCTCTGCTCCTCCTCCTCCTCCACTCCGCTTTTATTGTTGATAGCTTGAGAGAACCACGCAACCCAAAAGGCAGATTGAGTTCTGTAAAATTTCCAATTGTTGTATCGCCGTATCACCAACCGCAGTCTATTATCAAGCAATCAATCCATCGCACCCCTTGCCACGGTCTCGCCTCCGGTCTTCGACACCCCATTCGCGACTGTTTTGAACGAACGGAATCTTTGCCACTCGCAACAATTTCCTCGGCCGAGTTCTTATCGTCGAGAATTCACAAGCCCCATGCAACAGTGGTCTTGAAGAAGAAGAGCCTTTCGGACAAAAATACCTACCTTTCTCCCACGCGTCACTTTGCGGCCACCCGAGCGATTGCCCTTTGCGACAAGATCACGTGCCTGTTTATCCTACGCTGACCCTAATTGCTTCAAGTGTCTGGTACAATGAGCAACCTCGATCTAGAGAAGAAGCCCAGCACTGGGCAGGTGATGCCTAGCAGCGAGTCTGCCTCCGGATCCGAAGATGCTGACGCCCTGAAGCTGGCTGAGATGGGCTATACCCAGGACCTGCAGCGCAATTTCTCTGTTCTCTCCCTGGTCGGAATTGCGTTCTGCATGTCCAACTCCTGGTTCGGTATTTCCGCGTCTCTCATCACGGGTATCAGTTCCGGAGGTACGGTCATTATTATTTACGGCCTGCTCTGGATCACCTTCATCTCGTGCTGTGTGGGATCGTCGCTTTCGGAACTGGCCAGTGCCATGCCTAATGCCGGTGGACAGTACTTCTGGGCCGATCAACTGGCTCCTAAGAAGTATGCTCGTTTTGCTTCCTATGTGACCGGCTGGTTCGGCTACGCGGGTGCCATCTTTGCGAGTGCCAGTGTCGCCCTCAGTCTGGGATCCGGTGTTGTGGGCATGTGGGAGCTGGGTCATCCCTCCTTGTATGATCCCTCAAACTTCCCTTCCACGGGTATCTCCCTGTAGTGCTGACCCCGATGCTAGTGTCCCCAAACCGTGGCATACAGTTGTAGCATACGAGCTTATCAACCTCTTCTGCTACCTGTTCAACTGCTGGGGCAAGATCCTTCCCGCGGTCGCCAAGGCGACGCTGTACATCTCGCTGCTCTCATTCTTCGTGATTTTGGTGACGGTGCCGGCCTGCGCCAAGCCGCACGCCAGCGCTTCGTTTGTCTTCGGTCACTTCGTCAACTCGACGGGTTGGAAGTCGGACGGGATTGCCTTCATCGTCGGACTGATCAACCCCAACTGGATCTTCGCTTGTCTGGATTCCGCAACGCACCTGGCGGAGGAAGTGCCGCAGCCGGAGCGCAACATCCCCATCGCGATCATGGCGACGGTGGGAATTGGGTTCGTGACCGCCTGGTTCTACTGTGTGGCCATGTTCTTCAGCATCCAGGACCTGGACGCGCTGCTCAACTCGTCCACGGGTGTCCCCATCCTGGAGCTGTACTACCAGGCGCTTAGCAACAAGGCTGGAGCTATTGTGCTGGAGACGCTGCTGATCGTCACGGGTATGGGCTGCCTGATTGCCTGCCACACTTGGCAGTCGCGTCTGGCGTGGGCCTTTGCCCGCGACCGTGGTGTTCCCTGCCACCAGTGGGTGTCGACCGTCAACGTCAAGCTGGACGTGCCCATGTGGGCGCACTTTGCGAGCTCGTTGATCGTCGCGCTGCTGGGTCTGCTCTACCTCGGCTCGTCCACCGCGTTCAACAGCATGGTTACCGCCTGTATCGCTCTGCTGTACATTTCGTACTCCGTGCCGGTGATCTGCATGCTGTACCGTGGTCGCGACAACATCAAGCACGGCCCCTTCTGGTTGGGCAAGTGGGGATTGGCCGCCAACTATATCACTCTGGCATGGACTCTGTTCTGTCTGGTCATGTACTCCTTCCCTGCCACCATGCCCGTCAATACTGGCAGTAAGTTTGCCATCACTTCCGTTACCTTACCTTAGCCTCGAAACTTAGCCACTAACCAATCCTCAGATATGAACTATGTCTCCGCCGTCTACGGCGTCATAATTTTCATCATCCTCGTTGACTGGTTCGCCCGCGGTCGTAAGTCCTTCCGTGGTAGCCAAAGCTGTGTCGAAGACGCCGACGCCCACGCACATTAAGCATCATACCCATCCGATCCCACGTCATTCATCACCACCACCGCCACCACAACAACAACCACCATCATGCAAGCCCATCCCCCCGATTCATGATTAGCGTTCATCAAAGCGTTCCGCTGGCCACCACTTGGTTACTTCAGCCATGCTGCCAGATTTCTGTACATGACCTCAACCTTTTTGAAGCCGTTCTATCCGCCAGACCAGGGGTCTAGCTTGGAAGAACTAAGCTTTTGCCATATTGGATATGGATAACGACACAAAAAACCTGTCACGAGTCCAGTCTTACATGGACAAAAGACGAATGCGCAAGAGTACAACTCATAAGCGAATGAAGAGACAAGGAGGAAAACAGATAAGAAAACAAAAGAAGCTGTATATAGACGATACCGATCGATACCCTTTGTTGAAAGAGTTGATATATCGACCCATGTTCAATTTCCAAATAAAAAGAAAGATTTCAAATCCTCAAACCTTTTGTGGCTTCTTCAAGCTTGTTAGATATATGGTGTTGGGATCCAAGAGTCAGAATGATGCCCATCCCGACTAGGCCATCTTCAATAGACTGAAGCATTAAAGAGACGATTTGACTTCGAAATTGAGAAAAAAAAAGCCAAGAAGCAAGCAGCATCAAGCATGTTGACAACAACAACAACATCTCCAATGTAAAGATTTTTCCTTTCCACGGTAGCTAGACGCTCGGTAGGTATTTAAGAGAATTAGGAAAGAAAAAGAAGAAGGGGGAAAAAAGCTCACATAGGTTAGTTAGCTGCGACAAAACGTTCTACGGCGACATTTTCTGCACCGCATGTGACCGACTCCGCGCACTGAGTTGTGGGGATTGGAGACGCTCCGAACCGTTCTAGCCCCCAGCCACAAAAGTCTCATGGGACCTATCATACACACATACTAAAGAGGTTCTGGCATAGACTGTATATCTTCAGGTTGATTTGGGTTGGTTTGCAGGAGGGTAGGGAGAAATCGAAGGCTTCACCGTCTCTTTGGAGCCTTGAGTTTCGTCGTGGTATTCGTGTGACTGGGAGCTTTGGGGGAGTTGTGGCGTCGTTAGTTTGGACTTGTAGTTGGAGGCAGACGTGGTCGGTGAAGGTTTGGGCTGAGAGTGATGGGGGTTGTCTTCAAGTTTGTGGGAGGGTTGAAGGGTGTTTGTGGTGGGCATGCTTTCTGTGAAAATAGTTTTGAGAATGGTTAGGCTGATATGTCGTCGTATTGTAGATGTGGAGTCGGGGATATTGTCTGGTCGGCTCTTGTTTTGGGTTTGGGGACTTGCGGGAGAGTTTCAGCTCTGACATGCGACTGTGTTGATTGTACGGGTCGTTTCAATAGGTAATGGCTTGGTTTGTAGATTGTGAGTTGAGAGTATGCTGTGGATTCTCCCGGGCTGGTCCTGATCATGGAGAACTAGAGCTGCATGAATTGTTGCTAGTGAGATTCGAGCCTAGACTGATGCTCAAGGGTGTTTGGAGACAGTGCTGGTATACACGAAGACATGCCTACTCTCATAGGTATCTACTCTCACAGTGTGCGACGCGAAATGCAGTGGGTCTGATTCTGGAGAAGGCTCATGCAGGGTTTGATTAAGCTACTAGTCTATGCGCATATGGTGCTTGAATCCAGTGCGATGTCGGAGACCATGTGTAGGCAAATGAATTAAGTTGAACTGGTAGTTATAGGAGGAAAAGAAGAAGCCATCTGCTATGTTGGATCATTGTTTGAAGACACTATCTGAGCTAGTTGAGCTATGATCAGTCCACACAAGCACATCACTACTCCTCGATCAGACTCGGGGTTTAGTACCTCATCTTGCGGTCCAAATCAATTTGCAGTCGAAATTGCTTATGCTCGCCATACGCTGGTCTCGTTCTCATTCCTGTCTTGATACTAGCTTAACATCTATCGCCCCCAACAGATATCCCCGCCAGTGAACGAAAAATTTCCAGGCTTCTGTCCGAAAACAGCAGGTCTATAATGATCGTGCAGGCTCACATCAATGTGTATCTTTGTCTGCGTCAGAGGATCAGTAAAGCTGGTTCCGCCCCCGAAGCATGAGCTTCCACGTGACAAATTTTTCTGAGTTCCGCAGCAAGGTCGAATGTAAGTCTGGGATACAGCGCAAGCTCCCTGATGAAAGTGAATTCTTGCGAACTTAAGTATGGTTTCACGAGTGCGGTGACCAGGACCTGACGAACGGAATTTCCTGCGGGCAGGTCGTTTGCTAATGCAAGATGACTTGCGCTGATATGCCTGATGTTCATATCGTACATATTTCCCATGTCGGCGAATCGGGCCAGTTCCAGAAGCCAGGAGATCCGGACGAAGCGGTCTTCCTGCGCCAAAGTGAAAGTACCAGTATATAGCCATTCAACGAAAAGCTCGAAGCTTCGTTTGAAAAAGGTGCCATCTGCTGGAAGAGTGACAGACGATGCCTTTGCCTCAGCCTAGTTGTCCTCGAACCTCTTTGAAAAGTAGGTCGACTTCTTGCACAGAAGGAGCTCTGATAATACATACTAGGAGGGACCGCTGCGCCCAAGCTGAATTTTGACTTGAGGTCCATGGTAATCAGGAAGACAACTGTGGGCTTATCGGTGTTGTGATCTGAAGCTCCGGCTCACCAACCCATCTGCGAAGGGCATCTGCTCCGTATTCTCCGGTTTTAGCTCGCCCGCTAAGGGCTGACATCGTGGAGTTTGTGATCAGCTAGCTTGACACCACTTGTCCATGTGTCCCGAGGGAAGTCCTGCATGCGTTGCGCACGTGGCCACTGGGTAAACCTCCGATGAGGCTACGAGGAAATAGATAGATACTGTGCGAGGCCAAAGATGTAGGCGAGGAATAGCTGATTAAAGGTGTTAGTCCTTAAGGTGACGGAGGGATTGCCTGAGGTCATTCCTGTACTCAGTGAATGACTGTTACGAACGGGGTTTGTGTTGGCCTGACCACGTGTAGACAAACGCAAGCAGGTAAGGTACTCATTTCTTATATGCAGCTTCACCCTATCATTGTTACATTAGTTGTAGAGAAGGCCTCGAGGTCCTAAAAGCTTGAGTAGGCTACTAGTATTTAGGGACTGTAACATATCATTGTTTTGTGTAGCTTGCCTCAGACTCGCTTCGCTTGGACCCCTGACATGTAAAATTGAAATGACAACCGTAGCCATGCAGCTTGCAGTGAAATACGGACCCATTAAGGTCCAAAATGATTCATAAGAACAGGAGAATATCTAGACCGAGCTCGTAACAAGAGAAGCAGGAACTTAGATTGTGAATGAGTCCTCACTAAGAACACCCGAGCCTTTGCCCGGCAACGGCCGTGAATTCCGGATGATCGACCATAATGGGAAAGAATACCAAAATTTTCAGTCCAGGCCGCCGATCGAAAAGTCTTTGGAGCTAGATTATCCTAATTACCAAAGAATTAGAGAATGAGATTCTGTAGATCTAACGTCGAGGTGGATGAAAACGGCCGTCAATTATGTCATCATAGGGACTCATCTTGTGACCAATCAGAAGTCCACTTTTTGACATTCATCATGATCTTACGGAGCATTGACAAATGGAGGATCAGAGCATGTCAGTCAGCATATTGTTAGTAGGCAATTAGCCAGAACTTATCAACCACCCTATATTACGAAGATTGACTGACAGCTCAGAGGCTAGAATATTCTTATCGAGTCTAAATCGCTAATTCAGCCACTCACGCGAAAAAGTGGTGGTTATGCTGCCCTCAGCATTATTGTGAAAGGACAAATGATGCCGGCGGCCCTTAGTCAGTCTTACCCCATGCTTACACGACGGATCTCCGCCCCGCCTGGAACTGCATGCCACTAACTAGAACTATAAAGCCGATCATCGATCGCGGCGACAGAGGGAGTAGATTTTGAAAATGCGCATCACTCTCAGTCCTTTCGCAACTCCTCTCTATTTACTGATAATAATCACTCCGATCATCTACTTCATAGCCAAAGCAATTTTCTCAACTACTACTCCCATCGAAATGTCCAAGCCTCTCGCCCACGCCTCCATCGTTGCCCGCCGCTCCAGCGAGCGCGGCTACGCCGAACACGGCGGCTGGCTGAAGACCTTCCATACCTTCAGCTTCGCCAACTACTATGACCACAAATTCAACCAATTCGGCAGCCTCCGCGTGCTCAATGAAGACCGCGTTGCAGCCCGCAATGGGTTTCCAACCCACCCTCACCGCGACGCTGAGATCTTCAGCTACATCCTTAACGGCGAGCTCACACATCGCGACAGCATGATCAAGAAGGGCGCCGAGGGTGCGCAGGGCAAGCAATTCTATCGCATGAAGAGGGGTGATGTACAGTTCACGACCGGTGGCACAGGTAAGTCTTACTTGCCTTTCTGGATATCTCTTGGCGGAAGCTAATCAGGCCGGAACACAGGCATTGCGCATTCCGAACAGAACGAGTCCAACAAGCCGGTACACTTCCTTCAGATCTGGGCCCTCCCATGGAAGTACGGACTCAAGCCTCAATACCACACGAGAACATTCGATGAAGCTGCGAAGCGACAAGGCTTCGTGCATATTTTGTCGCCGCTCGCGGCGGGGCCGGAGGCCACGCCCGCAGAGGAGGAGGCTGCCGTCCCGAAGATCCCCGAGACTATCCCCATTCATGCGGACTTCGTCATGGGTGCTGGTATTATCGAGCCTTCGAAGACATTCCAATGGACGGTAGGCGCTGGTGATGCTGTCACCCAGAAGAAGAAGCGGAACGTCTACGTCCATCTGCCCATGACCAAGGGCGGCAAGGCTAAGATCAGATTGGACTACCGCGACACTGCAGTTTTGGGCGAAGGCGATGGTGCTTTCATCACGGGGGTGAACGCCGGAGACGTGCTCAGCGTTGAGAGCATCGGGGAAGCTGAAGCGGAAGTCGTTGTCTTGGACAGCAATTAGAGGCATTTCTGGAGCTTGTGTTTTTAAACGGCGTCTGTCTTGCGTTCTTGGCATCTAACTAGCACGGGTCCTTTCGAATATTCGGCATTTGTATATTATGACTAGCTTATGGCATATGTGCGATCAGGTGTTTATAATTAAGATATAATGATATTTGATGACTAGGACCAAAGTGGATTCCAAATAGTCAGTACGTGCCGTTGTGACCATGCATCTAACTTATTACAGCTGAGGAGCTTAAGTCTACTAGGTAGCTTATGCACCAGGTAGAACGGGTCAAGCTATTACTCATGGCCACTCTATTTGCGGCATCCCGTCATGGGTGCCAGTGGTGACTGCCGAGCTTGACGAATTTCTTCGCGGCCGTTCGCATTATTCACTCATTTTTAAATACCTCTCGATCCACTGTCTCGAGTGTGATTCCCATCGTACAGCAAGCTCTCGCTCAGAGATTCGGTTGTCTTCGATCAGACAGGTCTTGTACACCTTACTGGCCAATGGCGCTACGAACAGAGATTTACCAGCATACCTAGCTAGCCATAGCCATATTCGATGACTTGCAACCATTTCCACCTGACAAGAGACAGCAGTGACTGCAATAAGGATTCAGACCCGAGCATCAGAGATAAGGAAATGAAATGGAAAATGGGGTGAGCTTTACGCGTCTGCAACAACCGCATCTTATACCTCAAGAATCCAGGAACTGTCTCGTGACTCTCGCCGAACCTTCGAGGCACCGAGCGATAATCAACGGCTGGACCTAACCGAGCCCCGCAAATCAACCCCATCATGAGTTCCATCTGATAACCGACATATCGATTAGATCTCAAAATGTGTCACGACCGGTGGCGAGATCCTGACCCAACTGGCAACTTGACAAGACAATCATCAGATACTCAGTAAGTCAGCAAACACGAAACATGCTATCCTCGGAGCGGTCCGCCGTGTCGAACGGACAGCCCGACAAAATAGGCAGGTCACGGGAATTTGACCACTACAGATGGAAAAAAGTTGCCCGCGGAGACATCAACCCCAACCCCAAATGGCTCGGGCTTTGAATGGGCCGGCATCATGCACGCACCCTCTCACCGAGAATGGGGACTGGACGGAGAAATGCACCATGACAGCATCATGTCTGCCAGTCCAGCCCCGGCCCCAGCCCTGTATTGATCCCACTAAAAGGTCGCAAAACTGCCCTGGCAAGATGGGTCAGCGGCCATTCCATGATACCCCGCTTTCTATTGCGCGATTGCTACTACTTACGGGGTAAGCCTAACTACACTTACAGTTTGCGAGGGCTGTTTTAGCTCCATTGGGGCTCAACGGATTGAGAGAGAATCTCTCGACTGGTATGAGTCATCAGATAAGCCATCGTGGCCTGTGTCTCTCTCCTCAGAGAAGCTGAAAAAAAGGCTACAGCTGACCCCGCCACCTCGGTCTTACGGGGCGGATTGTCCGGAGTTTGTTTCTGGGGAATTACCCCCCCCCCCCCCCGGTCACTAGAAAGTTAGTTCGATAGTCAGGATTATTGCACGGAAGACCGACACTGACACGGAGGACCGTTGCTTGTTGTTATCAGCTTTGGTTATTTCAGAACCCATTAGTCCCGAAAAATCTTCCAGCTCCCAGTGATCCTGATCAAGGACAAGTGACGATCCGCTTCATCCGAACACCGTATTCAGTCTTGGCGAGTTGGGAAGCAACGCGTGAGGATGTGCGGCGCACGGATTGGCCGGCGTGAGGGGGATTCCATCGCCGATGAAATGGGTCTGGAGACCGGAGTAGAACGTGGGCAGGTTGATGGTTGATGGGGCTCCAGCTAGTTTTTTATGTCTCTTCGTCTGCGGTTCGGACTGTACAAACATGTGTGTAACAGATGTCTAGGTTATGTGCAGCCCTGCTATTTTTCTCCCTTATCTCCTTCAAGGTCTTCTAACTTCTGAGTGCCAGGTATCAAATGAATATTGTATATAGTTCTTAGGCTAATCACCAGTTAGTTAGTGTAGGCGGTGCCGAAACGGAGCCGGGTTTGGCGGTGGCTCGAGGGCGATCCGCGTGGTTAAGTTGTGCTGCTGTTTTTCCCCGCTCCAGCAAAAGCTCGTCATTTCATTGGTCTGCCACTGCCGGGATCGGATCGTCTTTGAGGGGTGAAATTCATTCTATGGCTTTTTTATTCTCGATTTTTGTTCACCTCTCATGGCTTTCCAACAGCATTATTGATCGTCGCATTGATATCCTCTGTTGGTATCCTTCACCTCGTACTCGACAGTTACCACCTTCTGAATCCTGATTGTTCTGTCATATTCGACAAGGGGATGGGGGCCACATCAACTACACTTTTTGATTCTGTAGAATTGTGTTCAGAAATGCTTGCCATTTTCAGCTTACAGCGCGGGGGCTGTGTGTTGAACAACAACATCTAATTTAACTCCACCGCTATAGAAGATGCCGTGATCCCTGGTTCCCTCCTTACACTGCTCTCATGATGCCATCATTCGGCCATCATGGCGGACGAATCTGTTGAATTTCGCCTCCCGACTACGCTTGAATTGCATCTTGAGTTACGTAAAAGCAAACCCGGTCAATGGCCACGCTGAAGCGAGTTGGTGGATGGATGTTTCTGGCGAATTCCCCCTTCCAGGCCCTGCACTGCACTACTACGTTCAGGGCCAAGTGATACTGGCGATCTCGTTGACTTGCCTGATCTGCCGACGCTGGCGGTCATCGCCGGGGTCCAAATGGGGGTAGACATTAGACGAGGCGAGGAGCATACTACTCAGTAGATGAAAGATGGGGCTGGCCGACAGCAAGCTTACAGGAAGAAACTAGAATCATCAGTCAAAAATCTTCTTCCGATTACTAGTCATACAGGAAGATGCGACTCGAGCACCTCCGTAGTCCGTACTAGCTGATAGCTATTTGCTACCTCTTGACCCTGAAAAGGATAATCCATCCAGAGTTTTCAAGCCGCCTGACATGGCTCATTCTATGACTGATTGTCATTACTCGATATAAACCACCTCGGAAACCATATCGGACCAAAATCCCATCACGGGACGAGGCGCAGAAGCTCTGTCTTCGTCATTTCTGCGACAGGCACTCTTGATTTTCCTCTTGAGGTCGAGTGGGTTGAGGCATTTGAAGATAGAGAAAAAAAAAAGCCGTGTACCAACTAGTCTACTTTGCGACTCCATTCCTGTGAGTGCGCGGTAAACCCCAGACGATCCCAATCCAGACCAGTCGGCTGTGTCTCCTAAGGTACATGGTGGATGCTGCGATTCTTGCTTGTTGGCTCCTCAGGTCCCCATTGTCGCAAAGAGAGACACACAGACCGCAGTTACTTACATATAATGCCGACAGCGCATCCCTTCCCACCACCTGTAACCCTGCCGTTGAACTGTAGTACTTGCACGGACTAAACTGGGGGAGCGCATTCTCAAGCATATCGTTCGCATCAAAGCTTCATACCTACATCTCTCTTCCATTCCTGCGGTGTGGTACCCGGAGAGGTAACCTCCCCTTGTGCCTGAATTTAGCACGATTCCGCGTCTCTCGAGGCGATCCTTGTGCATACATCGATTGTTTCTGGCCAGCAGGGCTGATTAGGGTCTCTCTGTTTGTGGGCGCGAATCTCGGAACCAAGCACTGGACCTGATCCACGGACTACTGGGAATTTTTCCCCTCCGTCGCTTTGCTAGTGTGGATATCAGTTTCGGCTTCAATTCGGTAGCACGGGATTTTCTTGTGAGTCTGGAGTTCAATTTTTCCTTGTCAGCCATTGTATTTTTGTTTTTCTTTTTGCACCTGGTTATTATTACTTTAATTTTGGGGGGGAGGCTTTGCGTTATCGGTGCCCACCATCGTGAGATCAATTCCCTCACCTGGCGTCAGACCAGGCCCTGGGGCTGGTCCACAACCCACTTTGCTGGCCCATATTGGAGTATCCGGTGATTCTTATTATTCACATTTCCTTGCCCTGATCAAGGGGCTCTCCGTATTGTGTGCACTGAACGGCCAGAAAACACCGCATTTCCCACCCATTGACTAACCAAAACCCCTTCTCTTGGCGAGTAGTGTGTGGTGTTATAGACTATAGTAGTCTCTACTGCGCCGATTTGGGGTTTGAGAGTTGGAGCATTATCGATTATCGACAATCCCGCCGCGCCATCTCCAATACTCTATCATTTTATTTTTATTTTTATTCTTTTTTTCTTTTTTTTTCTTTACCCTTTTTTTCATCCCTCGCGACCTTCCTGGCAGCGGAGTCTTTTTTAGTACGCGGCGATTTCTCACCTTGTGCCCGACGGATATCGTTCCAGGAAGCAACTTCCTTTCAACAGCAGCTTTATCTGCATTCAAGGCTTGCATCATCGATTTCTTCAATTGCGGCATTCCTGAACAAATCCATCGCGAAGGGCCGCTGATAGTCTACTGAGCTATAAAAAGAAAATAATTCCTCCTTCACCATCGCGTCGCCTTGGGGGAGTTGTTTTAGCATCGATCTCCACGTACATTTTCTCCTCTTACCCCACCGTGCCGTCGTTCAATTTTCCTTCGTCGTTTAACCACCGCTACTTGCTGCACTAGTCACAAACGTGCGCTGTGCTGGTGGCATACCACCTGACCTTGTTTCGGACTGAAGAGAACTACATTTACTTGCATTGATCTGCTCTTGGATCAAGTACTGTCACTTATTGATTCTCAACTTTTACCATCGCTTTGCTGTTCCTCCTTCGTGTTCTTTACCCCGCATCCTCTTTCTTTTTCCTCCCGCAGCCCACCGGAGGCTTTTTCTTTCTTCCCGCCCTCCACATTATCCTCCTCCTCTCCTCCTCCTCCCCCATGACACAACAAAAGAAGACCATCGCCGTGGTAAATGCGACGGGTCGCCAAGCAGCGTCCCTGATTCGCGTTGCCGCGGCCGTGGGACACCATGTTCGCGCTCAGATCCATTCCCTCAAGGGATTCGTTGCGGAGGAGTTGCAGGAGCTTCCGAATGTCACCTTATTCCAAGGCCCGCTGCTGGGCAACACCCCGCTAATGGACGCATTGTTCGACGGCGCCAACCTCGCATTTATCAACACGACCTCACAATCAGGCGACGAAGTTGCCATTGGTCGCGCCCTCGCCGACGCTGCCAAACGAGCCGGAACAATCCAACACTACATCTACAGCAGTATGCCTGACCACTCGGTACACGGGCCCTGGCCTCCAGTACCGCTCTGGGCCCCCAAATTCACCGTCGAGAACTACATCCGTCAGCTGGGCCTGCCCTCGACTTTTGTCTATGCTGGGATCTACAACAATAATTTCACGAGTCTACCCTACCCGCTCTTCCAGATGGAGCTCATGCCGGATGGAAGTTTCGAGTGGCATGCGCCCTTTGATCCGGACATTCCGCTCCCCTGGCTAGACTCGGAACACGATGTGGGACCCGCGTTGCTGCAGATTTTCAAGGATGGGCCGAAGAAGTGGAATGGGCATCGGTAGGTTTGACTTTTTCCGTTGTTTCTGATAGGGGTGGTTGCTCACAAGTGGTCACAGCATCGCGCTCACCTTCGAGACACTCTCTCCCAATCAAGTCTGCGCAGCCTTCTCGCGTGCGCTCGGCCGTCCCTGTCGTTATGTGCGTGTTCCCAAAATCGAAGTCAAAGTCAACATTCCGCCGGGATATCGAGAACAGCTGGAGGCGATCGAGGTGGTGTTCGGACAGTGCGACGCGCCTTACTTCCCACAGCCCGAGTTTTCCCGTCCGGCGGCCGGATCACCCAAGGGACTGGGGCCCGCCAATGGCAAAGGCGCAGGCGCCGGAATGATGCAGGGTCCCGGAGGGGTGATATCGCTTCGTGTGACCGACGAGGCCCGGCATTTATGGCAGGGGTGGCGCGATATGGAGGAATATGCGCGAGAGGTCTTTCCGGTAGAGGAAGAGGCCAACGGATTAGACTGGATGCTTTAGTGGGGGAAGATCATGCCTAATACAGCGGTTCAGTTTGTTCCGACGGGCACGTGCGCCGGTGCCGGTAAGTTTGGCTTGGCCCGGCACCTGACCGATGGCGCGATTGGGTCGCGATAAGGGGAGGTTACATTATATTCAAAGAAGATTGCTGGATGGCCTGCTTGAACCTTCAGGGCCTTGCCGGGCGGAGTTCCCTTCGACATCCAACACCTCCTCGCTCGTAACAGAGATGAGGCACTCACACCACTCTACTCACCGCATTGCAGACTTGCCTGTTGGCGTGCATTTTCTCGTTGTCTTATCTGCTTACTAGTTTTCTTTCCCTGCATGCATGCATCACCGGCGAACTGGCCTGGGTTTCCTTATCAATGTCTCTCGGAATAAGAGACATTCAAAAAAAAGGAGTGAGAAAGAGAAGAAGATCCATACTCTAATGGGAAAGCAACGAAACACGAGGCATCAAGATTGAGAGTCTCACCACTCTCGATCTCCTCGCGGAAAAGTTTTTATTTTTATTCTGATTCAATCTTCGTCGATAATGTTCTACTGAGACGCACGACACGACTATGCAGGTATGATGATGGACATGTTGGATTGATATCGAGATTCATGGTCAATCCGCGCACGCCAAAGGTTTCTTATCTTATTTCTTTCTTTTCTCTTACCCCATTCTTTTTCTTCTCTGTTGTCACACCCTTGTTTCCATGCATTTTTTGCTATGGAATTGGTGTCTTTTTTTGTTATCTGATTGTGCTTCTAGTTAATTTATTCCCCTCGGATGCTGTGTGCATCGGCGGCTACTGATTTATCAATTCATTTTTCCAGATTTGATCTTGATCTTGTCCTATTATATTAACTGCAGAACGCTTTTGTAGGAGGTCCTAGATTTGACGGATTATGGTGGTCTTTGCTGGCTTCCTCACAATCAAAAAGGGAGCTGTTCTCACGAAGATAATCGGAGTACGTCAGGATTTCTCAGCTGTAAGCTCAGCACTTGCGCTGACTTGAACATGGCCTCTCCAAGTGGTAGCCAGTGAGCTCTGCTCAGGCATGTGAAGGGCTATGGATCTCATCGTGACTGTATTATCCTGTAGATGGGCTCTGTTCGCGCTATATTTGAGCTGCGATGCATTCTACCTGGAGGTATTCACATACTTCATAAATTGCAATGTAAGGAAAAAGAGACGTACTCATAGAGATTGAGCCCCGTCTGTGAGGTAAGACTGATATTTCCTGTCACCTATGTAGCAAGAAGTCTTTCGAAGGGTTGCTCTACATTCATTGTATACAAGATCATGCGAAGTCCTCGATGACGTCACAATCACAGCATCCACTTTACGGAGTACCACAATCTTTTTCCGAAATTCAAAAATATATCTTTCTGTTCGAACATTGTCATGTAGACTGAGTAACTAACTAACTGAAGGTTGACTGAGTAATTGGACGGTTCACAGACCAGAAATTACCTAACTTATATATCTGCAAAGTCTCGCGATAAGCAAAAAAATTCTACTGTGCAGTGTGTTCAACCTAGCTAAGTAAAAAAAAAAAAAAATTGAAAAGGGAGGTGCGTCCCCACACCCAGCACCCCTGAAAGTAAGCTAAGTGTGAAAAGAAGCCAAGCTAGATAATTTAACCACCTTTAACCTCAAGAAACTATTAATATTTATTGTAGCCAACAATGCTGTAGCCCAATAAGAATTGATCTTAAATGAAGTTGGAAGGCAGTTTAGGTTAACTACTCACTTCTCTTAGATAACTACCTACCCTAGTTAGCGCTCTAGCCCGCTCGCAAGTGGCGCATTGAAGCATCTCCGGTTGCTTGAAATCTCTGAGCAAGAAATGTAGATTTGTATGGATACTACTACCTTACTCCGCCACTCACCCGCGACCTCCTCTCGTAGGTTCTGTAACTCAGGTAAGGTACGAGTTGGAGGCCCTCTACTGGTAACAAGCAAAGGCCGAAAACAATGAGAAATCTACAACCTAGCCTGGAGCCTAGAATGGCTTACCTCTTTCGGTTGTGCGCACTGGACCTGCTGCGAAGTTGTAGCAATTGACCTTAATTAACCTAAGTACTTAGCTAAGTTAGAAGTTAGCTCAAAAAGACACTAATTACTCCGTACTTACCTATACCTTGCAGAGGAATAGCTGCTCACTGACTCAACTCAGTTTAGCCTACTTAGCTCAGACAACCCTTAGTCAGGTCCAGTCAAGGCTCACTTGTGATTTGATTTGCGACTGACGAGCAGGCAAAGAAAACTAAACCGGGGTAAACCTACCGGTAGTTACGGACTACGGGAGGACCTTAGCTAAGGTGTGTAGGTGGTTCTTTGCGCCCGGCGTAGCCATACTTTTCTCCCTCTCCCTCTTCAATTCCTTTATTCGCAAATCGCAATTATCCTTTCCTACACATCACTTTTACTGTTTCACCTTTGGGTATATCTAGTGATACTTATTTCAGTATCATTACTCAATTACGATATCTAATAGCAGTAACGTCTTGCCTTTAACAATTTCCCCACAAACACTTCACAATGTCCGCCGAAGAACAGAACCAGTCCTTGCTGGAGCGCATCCAGCAGCCGGAGGTGAGCAAGGAGACGCAGAGAAAGATTGCGCTCGTGGAGCAGGAGTTCATTAAGGCCGAGCTTGAGCAGCGTAAGTCTCTTATGCACTTTGTTCCTCATGAGGTGTATCCGTCGCGGAGTCAGACATTGCAGCATCTGGGATCGAGTACATCCGGTGTCGCGCAACCTGCAATTGAATTGCTTTAAAGCAGCACACAGCTGCGTTAAGTCTATCGATTATTCTTTTCGATGTATATACTAATCATGCGTCGTGCTGTGCTACTTTACAGTCCGCCACTCTACCCTTCTCCTCCGCCCTCTCTTCACCAAGCGCAGTGAGGTCATCGACTCCCCCGACCTGCGCGAAATCTTCTGGACCCGCGTGATGCTCAACGCCCCTGCCGAGATCGAGGAGGCCATCACCATGACCGACGCCACGATCCTGGCCTCCACCCTGACGAACCTAACCGTTGAGCGCTTCGAGGTCGACGAGAAGGGCAACGGCGAGCCCCGCAGCTTCCGCCTGACCTTTCAGTTCCGCGACGAAAACCCTTACTTCACCAACAAGACCCTCGTCAAGGACTTCTACTGGCGCAAGCAGGTCATCACCACCGCCAACGGACACAAGCATCACTGGGACGGCCTCGTCTCGGAGCCTGTTCGCATTAATTGGAAGGAGGGCCAGGATCCCACTAAAGGTCTATTGGATGCTGCCTGCGATCTCGCTGAGGCAGAGAAGAAGAAGAATGCTGACACGGACCGCAAAGAGCTGAAGGAGTTTGAGGCGCTCATGCGCAAGAGGGACGAGGTCGAGACGGCTGAGGAGGAGCCGCAGGATGAGGACGAGGAGGGTTCGGCTGCTGGCTTGAGCTTCTTCGCTTTCTTCGGTTACCGCGGAAGCGATGTCACCGAGGAGCAGTCCAAGGCTGCTCTCAAGGAAGAGGAGGAGAAGTATGAGAAGCTGCGCAAGGGTGAAGCTGTTGAGGAGAAGGAGGACGAAGACGACGAGGATGACGATTTGGAGGACGACTTCGAGTTCATCGAGATCTTCCCTGGCGGTGAGGAGTTGGCCATCGCCATTGCCGAGGACCTTTGGCCCAATGCGATGAAGTACTATGGTGAGTGATGCTCAGCCGTTCCTGCACTCGGTCTCGCATTGACTAACGGTGTTTAGTCACGGATCAAGCCATCGAGGAGCTCGACTACAGCGATATCGACGTTTCCGAGGATGAGGACGACGACGAGGAGCAGTCCCGCCCTCGTAAGAAGACCAAGGTCTAAATGCGCGACCGGACGATTTATAAGAACATTGTGCCATAATCCTCCCAATTAAAGCACAAGAAGCAGGATCAAGAGCAGGACTAGAACGAATATCAGGACCGCGATAGCAAAGGAGGACATTGTATCTAATGGCGATTATTAGCTCCGGAACAAGTTGGATAGAAACACCCAAAAAGTTGAATTTCCTTACCTTCATTCTTCCGAATGATATACTTCAATTTCGACATCCCGCTCTGTAATTTGCCCCCCACGCGGTCGGCCAATGTATCCACCTCATCAATCATGACGGCCTGCTCCTCTAGCTCCCTCCCCATATCGTCCGCCTGCTGGCGGAGGTTCCCCACCGTCCGAAACACCCCGTCCAGCTGCTCATCCTGCTCATGCATCAACTCCATCTGCCGCTGCTGCTCCATCGCCGCATAGTAGTCGTCGCCGCGCTCCCCAGACGGCGACAGTAGCCCACCGTCGCCATCATCATCGAAGTCCGCTGGATTCGGCAGGTGCGACGACCCTCCCGCCGCTGACGTTGCTGAGGCCGTCGTCACCGCCCGCTGCAGCTCCTGGCGCATATTCTCAATCTCCGCGCCTACATCCGTGACGAGCGTTCGGCGGCGCTGAACCTCTTCCAATTCCAGCCCAAACCGATACGGGTCCTGTTCGATGGCGCGCACACTCTCGACGAGGTCATCCAGGTCGGCGGTCAGGTCGGTCAGCGTGGTTTCGAGCTCCGAGCGCGCTTGTTGCAGCTCCGGGTTGCTGGGGGATTTGGCGAGCGAGCGAATCCGTAGGTAGGAGGAGAAGAGGGGTCGGGTGCTTTGAAGGGTGGAGAGGACGTCCCTGGGTGTATTCGCGGCATTGTTAGCTAATAGCGGACTGGGATGGAGGGACGTCGTCTTATCGCTTTCAGGGGATGCTTGGGTCCTTACGCTTGGACTTGGAGGAAGGGGTCTGTATAGTCCATTATGATTTGGTATTGTGTTGAGGCTTGAAGGGCTGAATGCCGGAGAGGGTGAAATGGGAGGATTGAGGCAGATAAGGAGGAAGGTAATAATACTGTGTAGAATGGGATGCTGTTGATACGGGCGATGGTGGCAGGATCCCCGGCATGATGCTGATCGGGGTAGGGCGGTGGGCAAGGCGGTGTCGGTGCGGGTTGGAGTCGTGGGTCTGTGCAGCCTACCGAGCAAGCAATTGGCTATCTTCGTGTCCTGTCTGTATAGAGAGCTTCAGGTCAATACGGTGCATAATGGTGCCTCAATGAAGAGCCTGAAGTATGGGGAGGTGATTTTTCTATGTTCTTGCGGGAAGGTAACTATTTACTTGTAACCGACGTCTCATGATTTTCGCTGTTACTCCAGCTAATTGATAAGACAGGCACTACTAGAATGACCTATTGCAAGATGACATGCTTTGATGCATACTTTCGATCCAAACATGCAGCACGGCTATGCAACTACGCTGCAGACACGGGCTATCCTTTCATATGCGCGGATGTGACGAGCGGATAATGAACAATGCCGTCTCCTTGTGGGAGGTTGTCTCTTGCATCCTTCAGATCGCGGGTTAATCGGCCTTTGTCCCTTCTACATTCTGGTTGTCTGTGAGTAAAAGCTGGCTCTAACTCACAGTATAAATGTAGTAAGGTCCAGTGTCGTCACTGTGAAAGCAGCGGTACAAACAGGGTACGCAAAGGATCGTTCTTCGAAGAATGGATACCAATCCGAACAAAACTGGGGAAAATTCCCCAGATACTGCTACGAAACAGGTAAGACCTTTTGACTGGGAAAGCTTGCCTATGGATATCATGTTTCTGATCGATAAGATGCTAGAGGACCTGGACTTGGTCAACCTCAGTGTATCCGTTCCAGTATTGCGCCAAACTCTGAAAGAGTCTCTCCAACAGCGATGTAAGAACTGGGCACTTCCTGCCAAGAAATATTACAAGCAGTACACGCTCGCGGAGGAAGGATATCTGCACGGACGGAAAGTGGAACTTGGTATCGTCCAGCCTTTCGCAGAAGCTATTCTCCACGGCCATTGTGGTGTTGTGCGGAATGTGCTGGATGCCGGTGTTCACCCCAACAAAGACCGTGACATTTACGGGGAATCCTTTTGGCACCTTGCAGTAAAGACACGGAATATTGATATAGTGCAAATTTTCTTGTCTTTCCCTCAGACGGACGTCAATCAGTTGACATGGTTCGGCGAGCGGGCGCTGGACATGTTTACCCCTAAGCGATGGTTTTGGCAGATGACCCAAAACCCAGCACTCAGGGCTCTCAATCGAAGTCAACACCAGAGCGCTTCCGAGCAAGCTTCTGTGCAGAGGGATCAGAGGCTCATGGAGATTTTGCTTGCGCGGGGCGCAACTTTCACCACGTCACATTTCCTAGGCCATCTGGTGCGACGTCCAGGCGGTCCGGAGCTCCTGAGACTGGCGATTCGGAATGGCACCTACCGCAAGTACTCCACTCTCCACCAGCACATGGAATATTGTATCCAGCATCTCTCGCCCAATGTCTTGGATGTTATGACTCAGGAATGTTCGGACGTGAAATCCATATACACAGGCCGATTTATCGAGGAAGTACTTGGGAACGGTCAACGCCGGCTACGACGTGGGCATGTAGCTCACGCATTCGCCACGTACATGATCCAACAGGGCTTTCGCCTCAATATCTATTACTCGTTGACCGAATTTCACGAACTGGCGGTGGTTTTGGGGAAAATGGTTCCAAGACCCAATTTCTACGGCTCGGAAGTCTTACCGGAGAAGGTCTGGAGAAAATGGGCCCGGCTTGCCTGGCTGCTGCTAGAGCGACCGGAGATGCAGTGTGTTGGCTTTGAAGCGTGGAGGGATCCAGAGATGATTCTGAAAAGCCCGCTTCGGGAGGCTACGATAGCCAGGCGCTGGGATGAGGTTGGCGCTCTGCTTCGAGCAGGCCCTCGGCGCTGAAGGATTTTCTTGTGTTTGATGCTTCCATAGTTATCAGATTGCACTGTAGCAGAACAATGTGACTGCTTGAGTTCAATTACTTGTTTATCTGTGCCTCGATCTCATTACTATAGCGTGCTCGATCCTATGCATCTTATCTAGTTCCTGGTGTTGACCTTTTGAAGATGACCCTTGCCAAAGCGTAATGAAGTGGTGCACCATGGGTCCGAATCATGTTCACTAGATGAATCGCATATGTAGTATGTTTCCAATCCTGTCTTCCGAAGATGGCTTGAAATCAGAGATGGAGGTGAATGAGTCACCTGATGCCTGCCCATGCAAAACCTCCTCGTGGTCCATCCGATCCCTGTAATCTCTCTTCCACCGACGGATGTCCTCTTCCAGTACCTGATGGTGGCACACCAACCTTTCCCGTTCTTTTTCACTGCATAGACTGTTCTGAATACATGCACTAGGGATTGCTGACATTCGCGTCACACCGAGTGGTGTACCGTCGCCGCCTCCATAGAGAGAATATCGAAAACTGCCGCAGGCACAGGCAATCGCCGCCAAATTTTCTGGAATCCTCCCTTTCATGCCTCCTGCCGGAGCCACTGCCGAAGATGCTGGCTGTACGGTCAAGACGTTCAGCAACACAGAGGTGCATATGGTTCTAAATAAAAGGTCGCAAGGGTCCCTTCGCGCCGTCCTGAAGTCCACCCACAACTCCACCCCGAGAATAACACTGGAACCCATAACACAATGAGAGAAAAGCTCCAGAAGATCCGGGAGTACTTCCGACGCCGCCGCGCCCGACGACTTAACAACCGACTGCAGGCCATGGCGAGGGAACAGAACATCGGGCTCGCCGGGCTGCCCATTGAACTGGCTGAAAGCATCATCCAACTAGCCCACACCAAGACCCTGCTTGCGCTCCGCCTCACCTGCAAAGATTTCCAGAAGCTCGTTCACAAGGAACTCCAGAAGCGCTGCAGAGAAACGGTCGTGCCACCGCAGGAGCTTTACGAGGCCATGATTGTCACCAACGTGCACATGAATCGGCGCAGCAGTCGGTATAGATGGACAGATAACCCGGTAAGTCAGCCCCTCGCGCGCGCGGTGGCTGAGGGCCGGGTGGACGCGGTCCGCTTCTGTCTAGAAGCAGGACTCAGTGCTAACCTCTACGACCTCAGTGCCCGACCTCTGTTGCACATCGCCGCCTTCTACTCGCAGGTGGCCACGGCCCGTCTGCTGCTGCAGCACGGTGCTGATCCCTTCGCTACGGCGCGGGTAAGCCGCAGCACGGCGCTGGATTTCGCGGTGAGCCCCGAGCTTAGCCACGAAGAATTCGGACCTCCCTTCGGGTGGGCGATGCACGATGTCCGGCGCGACGAGATGGTGAGACTGCTCCTGTCCGAGGGGGGCCGGTTCTCCATCGAGGCTGGACCCGGGGTTCTGCCCTATCTGTGCACGATGCCGGATTGCAGACTTCTTCTCCGGCAGGCGTACAACAACGGCACCTACCCCATGGACGAGGCCATCGCGCGCCATCTGCTGCAATGTGAACGGTGGCCCGAGGTGGTCAAGTGGGTCGTGGCAGCCCTGCCGGAGGCACTCAACCCGGTCATCGTCACACGCGACGGACTCTCGGCCATCGAACAGGCCCTGTTCGCTCACCATAATGCTCTTGCAATGGAAATGATCATTCATGGGTTTCCCTTGAATATGGGCCCCTTCGGCAATGAGTACCCGGAGCTGACGTTCCCACTGAGCAACCTTCGCCACGGTGGTAGCGTCCAGACCCCCACTGACCAGCAAGTTGCCAGGGCGCTGATCGCGCGACCCGAGCTTCAGGCTGTCGGATTTGGTCGTTGGGTCTTGCACACGGGCAGCAACCGTTCATACATGGTTATCAATGAGCCGATGAACTTCCACTTACGCTCCCGAAACTGGCGCATGGTGAACTATTTGCTGGGGCTCTAGTGCCTAGTTGGTTCAATTGAGATTGCCCTGCTCAGAATGGGAATTTCTTGCTACATCTTCCAGACTGATCTTTCCTAGTTTCATCATCCAGATTGTGAATTTCCTACAAGCGTCATCTATCTACCCCCACTGGCTGTGACTCTGTTGTAGTAAGCACCTTAATCAATCCCCTTCCTTCGCATGAAGGCGAGAAGAAAGACTCCTTTCTAGGACGAAGTAACCTTGAAGGACCTGACCTACCCACGACGCCTTGGGTCTGCGTACACCGCAATACTGCCCAACCAGCAGCTTCTACAAGGAACTCAGCAGGAGCCTCATTCTTATTCCCAAGCCCCGAAACATGAAACATATTGTTATTCCTGATCATATCATTACTTGAGACCAAATGAGTCTCATCCCCATCCGCCCTAAGCGGCTATTAAAATCACATAATCCCCATGAAAACCTCATTTAAAACCGAAAGAAAATAAATCTAGCCTCCTCCTTCAATCCTCCCAACCTCCAAACCACCCCCAAGTCCCCAATTCGTCCCATTCCTCACTCACGGACCTACTGTACATCAACAATAAGTAGCATTGCCCTTCACCGGTGTAATCACGCCCTCATCAATCAACAGCTCATAACTCCAATAATCTTTCTGGGTACCCTGGCCATCGACCGCGGTGGTAGAGTTGTGCTTGATATTCCAGAAACTGCCACCCTGGACGTAGTAGCTCCAAGCATAGCGCTGGGTGTCGAACAAATTCTTTCGGTTGGCGTAGGTGTTGCTGTACAGGGTCTGGAGGGCCCACTCGCCCACAAAGACCGGGAACTTGCCGTCACCGCCCAGCACGCTCGCCTGGCCGCAGATCGCGCCCTGCGCCCACTGGGAGTAGATGCCCGAGGCCGCGAAGTAGTAGACATGCGTATCGAACACCAGGTTGGCGGTGGCGTCGAAGTACGGCGACCAGTGCTCCTCGCCCAGGAAGCAGTCCTGGAGCATGATGGGGACGCGCGGCGTGGCCGACTGCGCCACCAGGTCCAGCACCCCCTTCGTGTACTCCACGATCCAGGCGGTGCCGTTGCTGGTGAGCGTGGTGGTGCTGGCAAAGCCGGCCGGGTTGTCGGAGGCCTCGTTGAGGGGGGCGATCGTGAACGCCCACGCGCTGTCGCCGGTCGCGGCAATGAAGTCCAGGATGGCGGAGATGGCCTCGTAGCTGTATTGCAGGTTGGTGGAGTTGTAGAACCAGCCGTCGTGGCCGGCGGCTTCGCCGATGTCCAGGCTGTTGACGCCGCCGGGCAGGGAGTGCAGGTCGATGATCACCCGCATGTTGTATGTCTCAATGCCGTAAAGCGCGATCTCGCGGAGGTAGGTTTGCTGGTTGCCGTGGTAGAGTTCCGAGCCGGGGAATTGGATCCAGGCGGCGTAGGTGGTGGGGATGCGGAGGGTGTTGACGCCTTTTTTTTGGTTCAGGGGGTTAGTTTTTTGGGGGGTTCAAGAGGGGGAATGGGCAAGATAGTTTTGGGTAGGGAGCTGGGGTACGTACCAACTGCGGCCACGCGGTCGATGTCTTCGGTGGTGATGTACGTGGCATAGCGCTCCTCGAGCACCGGGCCACACTGCGAGCCCAGCGTCTTACAGAAGGTCCATTCGTCAGTAGCGTTGGGCGCGTACGAGTCCCACCACACCTGGTCGAACACCTGCTCCTGCTCCAGCCAGCCACCCAGGTTCACACCGTTGGCCTTGAACTTTCTCCAGTTGGTGTACTCGCCTGCGGCTTGGGTGGCGGTGGCCGATGCCAGGGTCGTGGTGTAGGTCCGGGTGACGGTGGTCGAGGCCCCGCGGATGGTCGTCGTCTTGGTGCCAACGAGCGTGTTGGAGGTCGAGGCAGTGTACAGTGCCGTGTTGACACCGGAGCCAACGGCGGAGCCACCGGCAACAGGTGCAAGGCTCTTGGTGCTGGTCACCTGAGGGTGGCTGGGTATTGTTAGTTGTTGTTGTTGATGTGAAGGTGAGCGGGTGAGGATGCTTACATGAGACGAGTGCTGGTAGTCTTGGGGTTGATGCGGGTCACAACGTTCTTGGAGGAGGATCCAGAGGACGATCCAGAGCCAGAGCCGGAGGAAGAACCAGAGCCAGAGCTGGAGGAAGAGCCAGAGCTGGAAGAGCCAGAGCCGGACGAGCCAGAGCCGGAAGAGCCAGAGCTGGAGGAGCCAGAGCTGGAGGAGCCAGAGCCGGACGAGCCAGAGCCGGACGAGCCAGAGCCGGAGGAGCCAGAGTTGGAACCGGACACACCAGAAGAGCCAGAGC